CACTGGAAACACACCACTTCCAACAAATCATTTGCCTCCCTTGAGAATAAAAAACAAAGATATTGTGTTTGAGAGGACAATGATTGGAACTGTTACAAGTGAGTCTTGATAAATGTTGTTAATGTTTCATTGGGATGAATATTTGACAAAACTGTAATATAACTGCAATATTCTTGAGTTCCTAGTAGCATTTTAATTAATTTTATCAATTGAGTTGTATATAAATGTAAGGTTGTTTATTTATCTAATTTAAGGGTAAAGGTTTTTATGCAGATGACAATATGAGTTAGTAGGGACCATAAGCAAGCCTTGATGACTGGCAGTAAAAATGGCCCTGTCAGTTTGTTTCCTAGCTATCTCTTTCAATATGACAATTTGGAATCACCAAATGTCATGGGGTCTGATCCAGCAATCCTGGTAGTAAATTTTTCATACTTCTGTGACTCTTATGTTTTCTTTGCATAATGTTTTGATTGTAAATCTAGCACAACAACCACATGTAACAAAACAGAAAGCAAAACTTTCAGATAAATAGTTTTTTTTTCTGTTATTAATATTTTCACAGTCAGTTGTGTCATTTTCTCTATATGATGTACCTTAATGTAGTGTCAACCTATCAGAGGTATCTGCCTTGGAGAGTTAAAATTTTTAGCAAAGGTTTAGCTGTATTGAAGTAATTTTTTTTTTGCACACTGAATTTTATTTGTTGTTATTTACTTTTAGCTTCAGAGATATCACTCACCAACACAGCATCAGAGAATTTGACATGGAACTTGTCTTCAGTGGCACCAGCCTATGTGAAGGTTTGTACACTTGGATACTGTAATATCATTTAGTTAGCAACATCATATTCTAGCACAAATACAAGAGCCATGTAAATGGATATTTCTTCTTGAAAAATTAAGCAGGATGGTATTAAAAAATGTTTGCACCATAGGTGGATGACACTGGAAATATTTGTAGAACCACATATCTTGCCTTCAGCATGGCAAAACAAGAAGGAACCATACAGGCTGGAAGAACAACAAAGGTATTTCAAGCTAAATAAAAAATCCTGCTCTTGGTGGAGCTGTGTGTACTATATTGCTACCAAAGTGCAACAAAGTTGATTTAAAGAGACAAACAGAGACATCTGAATTTCTAAAGAAGATTTAAGTTGTTTTCCTTCAACATAACTCTACTTGACATTTCTGATAGAGAAATGCTGGAAACTTAAAAAAAGCTCATCTTGAATTTTTATAACAACAAAAAACACATTTAAAGACCCAGTATTGGCCATTATGCATAGCATGCCTCTTTATTTGTTGTGTATTTCCCAAAAGGGAGACTTGTATTGTTTCCCCAAAGCTTTTGGAATGATCAACATTGATATAATGGTGATTGATAACCAATGCTGCACATAATGCATACTAGTCAAAACTGGGTCTTTAATGATCAACTTTTCTTTTTATGGGCAAAAGTGTGATCATCATTATTAATACTTACTTGTCGTCAATTACTGTTTCTCTGCTGCAGATTTTTGTTAAGTTTCAGCCAAGAGATGCTGGTGAATATGAGCAATCTTGGGATCTTATGGTGAGTGACAAAAATGAGCTGGTATTATTACTTATGGGTTTCAAAGTAGGAGGCACTCGTAGGAGAATAGAAGGGGCAAAAAAGACATCTGAAAATAAATTATTTCTGTCCAAATCAAAAGTAGCTAGGCAGTGCCTCTTTTGTTTTCTGTACCAGTATCTGCCACCTACCTTGGGTTAGAAATCCTGGTAACTACTGCTGTTTAGCTTAGCTTTTCTCTGTCCTTGTGAAGAAACTTGTCTTCATGAGTTTTGACTGAATCGTTCAAGGGGCTTCTTCTTATGAGTCTTCTTGGTAAGAGTTGGTTGGTGGGTCAGATATTTCCCTATCAGTAATTAGATGGTAGAAATTTTGTTAATGACCTATGATTTCTTGTGCTTTTTTGTTAGACTGCATCTGATGCGAATAAATCAAAACAGAAAATTTTTCTCCATGGCCAGGTAGATTGTGAAACATGATGCTAGTTATTATTATCCTAATCTCTGATAAAGTAATCATTATTGAGAACTTGTTCACTGCTAGTTTGATAACTTCCCATAACTCACCAGATCACCACAGAGTGTCTGTGGTTCAGTGGCTAAAGAGTGCCAAAGTGCAGAATCCAAAGGTCTGAAGTTCAGTTCCTCACCAGCCTAGAGGTTATCTTTGTCCAGAGCTTGCAACATAATGAAAAGCATCCGTCTCCTCCCAAATTTGAATCACACCAGTTCTGTGTCTGATTAAAGTGTTGGTCAAACCACCATAAAGTTTGTAACTGATATAACCTTTGACTAAATGTTACTTTCTGCTTTTTGGGTCATCACTTACACAGCTTTTATGTAAAATAACTGATGAATTGGTTTGGTCAAACATTGTTGCAATTGCTTGATTCATAATTTAAAATTTCCGGCTTGATTTAGCTTTCAAGTTGTGTAACTATGTTAATAATGGAAATAATTTGATACATCTTTATTACATGAGAAACAGGGCTGAGGAACTCTAATTAAATTGAAATGCTTCTCTTTCTAATTAGGCTGTTGATAGAACTGATGAGTTTGTGGGACCAAGTGAAGACATTGACACTTTCTTGCCGGCGAAATCAAAAAAAGTTACCATCAAAGAACCATTGAGGTATTTTCAGCAGGAGCTGTTTTCATTTCTTTTGAAGGTGGCAGTACCAAGCTCATCAAATTTTTGTTTCTTTTCAGATCACCTAAGAATGTCAAGAAAGGGCTCTACATTAAAGAAAATGTGCTTAAATTTCCTGTTACAGCAGCAGGGGCAACAAGTGAAGCACAGCTGAAAATCTGCAATGGCTCAAAGGATGACCAATATGGGGTGAGCACTTCCTATGTATTTATTAATTATTCTCTGAGTGAAGACCTTGAGTGTGTCTTACCTTTGGCAATCTGTTACTCACAAGAAAGCCAATTGTAATCCTTATTTTGCAGGAGTTTAGCTTAAATCCACAACAAAGTTTTAGTATGCATGGAATGTATTTCTATTCTCTTTCATTTTAAAGCCTTCACTGCCCACCAAGGGCAAAAGTAGTCCACATAATGTTTGCTCATCTGCTTTACCTATTTCTATTAATACTACAGGTGCGGGTCTCATCAATGAAGACACCTTTCTCTGTTCAGATTTCAAAGTTTTCAGTGAGGTATATTTTTCTCATAATGAGTCAACATTTAGTTAAACCTTGCCCTCTAAACTCAAGTTAACTATTTCTTTGGTGAGAGTGGACCCAAAATTATTTTACTTAAAGAAAAAGAACACTACAGTTAAATACTGGAACATGAGAGAGGAACATTCGAAACAAACAATAGGCCACCATGTTTGCTTTCTGATGGAATGAGAATCGCCTTACCAATGATCTTGTGAAAGGATGCACAATAGGAATGCACAATTCCAAATTAAAGAAGACTATGAATGTTGTATTACTCTAACAGAGCCTTGCGGTTTGTGCGACTGCCAGTGCGTTTCTCACCAACTGAACCTGGAAAGTCCTATGAGGCATCACTGGTTATTACAGCAGACCCTGATGTCATTATCACAGTACAGCTTCAAGGATCAAGTTCTGATTGATTCAACTGTGTAAAGTCAGCAGATAATAAGTTAACACTAAATTTATACTATGTATATATTATTTGTGTAAGATACTGATGTATATAATAAAGTGAAATTACAAAATTAACCTTAGAACAAATTTCCAAATTAATATATTCCTTAAGGTGAAGGACTACATAACTCCACATTGGTGCCTGATAATAATATTTGCAGGTTTTGTGTAATAGTGAAGTGGCACTTAGTGGCGTATATTTACAAATTCAATTTTTTTTCTCCTTTATATCCAAATCACCAGCTTTTCTCTTTAGAGCAGATTTTCTGTTAAGTGTGAAAACTGAACTGAAAAAAAGTTAAAGGTGCTTTGCACCTCATCTTTCTGTGTACTATATTCAGGCCAGGGAGAGAGGATGAGGAGTGAATGAAGGAGACAAAACATAAGCATTATCACTGTATAGTTTCAAGCAATAATGTTATGACTGCAGTAAATAATGCCTTCAAGCAAGCCCTCCTTGCTAATGCTTCAGCACAAATGTTTCTTCATGTGCTGTAAATTATGAGGCCTTAACCCTTTACGCCCTGACATCAGCAAGCATATTCTCCATACCGTTTTCTATACATTTCCAAGGTTCTTACAGAGAATTTGTAAACCATCAAGAGCCTTGTACTTTCTGATCATTTCCCTTATTCTCGTTACTTAAACTTTTTATTCAAGGGTGGTATTGTAAGGAGAAATTAGAACCTTGTTACTCTTAAGGATGAAAGAGTTAGGCAACACGACCTGGGTCTAGTGTTGTCAGACCCCCTAGAAACCTCTCTCTGACTTGACCCAAATCTTACCACAGATGGAGGAACACGCATCTGGCAGTACTGATATTGAGGGCCTGCATGCATGTATGCTGTATGTAACCTCTTTTTCCAATTGATAGTTATTTTAGACTACAATTTACGTATTGCTGTCATTTGTTTTCCTGTTATTTGGTACAAAGCAAAGTGTGAAGTGAGGGTCTTCTAGAAATGGATTGAAGCTAAAATGAACTCCTCTAATAGTAAGTGTTGTATCAATTGACGTAACTTATTCCCTGACCCACATGCACAGCATGTCAATCTATGTAGACCAAAGAATGAATTGAATAAATTATTCTTTGAAGAGAGAATATTTCACTCTTGAAATTCTTTTTTTTTAATTACAACAATACTTCAATAAAGTGTTTATTTACAAACTCATTTAGTGTTTATTTCTTGTTCTCTACCTGCAACAAAGTTTGTCATGCACATAACACCTCTTTTGCACTGTTTCAGCAAAAAATCCTGACTACCACACCGGTTTAACCCTTTAACTCCCAGGATCTGATTGTTAATTCTCCCCTCCAGCTGCAAGATAAAAACTTTTACCTGAATATGTGACAACTCTCATTACCTGTTTGCTTGATAGTGGGTGGATATTGTTGGGAGAAGTTACATGTGAATCACTTCTGGGAATTAAAGGGTTAACACTTCAATCCTAAATGAAAAAAAAATATTCTCCCTGTTTTCCAAATGTCTTTTTACAATCAGACATTTTTGCTATAACACCATAGCTATTTTAGTTAGTCAAAAATAATTGAAGTACATTCGTATGAGAGAATGAGAGTATTAAAATAAATAACACTCAATACATCCAAGTAACAATGCCATCAATTGTTCACTTCCAATTGTCAGATTTAAAAAAATAATTAACAATCTCTTGGCCTTGATGGTAAGAAGATATGTTTCAAAATAAATTACCACTAAGTTTGTTAATACAAGAAGAAATTTTTTAAACATTTTAGTAGTTTAGTTTAAGTGTCCTGCTAGTTGGAAAATTCTACCTCTCATAAGCCATTGATGGCATTTAACTATTTTGGTTGAAACCTGAGAGAAACCTGAGAAAAACCAGGCCGTTGCCTACAACCATTAAATAGCCTCTATTGCATAATAAGCCATGTACAATGCGTGAGATGCTTAATCAACAACCCATTTGAAAACTTAACACTAACATTATCATCCGTGTGAGTGGAAATAGCAATTAATAATTATTAATCTACTGCTTCTGGGGGCCATTTCATTTGTCCAAGGAACGATGACTTGAATTTTGTGTATCGTCCATATCTTTCCAAGTTGCAAGATGGTTGAGTTGATCTCCAACCAACCTCTTCAGATGTCTTAGTTGGAAATTTTGCATTTGACTTGCCGACTGACAGTTGTGACGCTACACTAGCGTCAATGGGTGGTAGCTTTAGAGCCTCACGTCGTTGCTTTACTCTTACTGCGGCCGCTCCATTTGCAACACTTTCATCTTCATTTGCCAACTAGAGGAGATAAAATAATATTTACAAATTATAAAATGCATGTAACTCGCACAAAATTTGAAGTGAGTTGCCATAGGTTATTCTTAAATTTATTTTCTACATGCACACACCAATAATTATAATTATTATTATTGGTTTGTTACTATGAGCGACTAAAACAGTGAAGTTCAACAGAGGAAAGCTGTGTTTACTTACGTGAAAGTTCATTAAACTTGCCTGCTATCGATTTAACCCGTCAATTAAGACATTAATGGCATCTCATTTGAGTCCTTCAAAAAGGTTGGAAAGGACAAAAATCCCTAATTTTCCTGATTTTAAGGCATTTTTGGAAAAAGTGAAAATGAAGAACTGTCACATCGGAATTTTTTCTCTCTACAAACTTAAATGAACCGAACAGCTATCTGAATCATCACGCAACCATTAATTCCATGGAAATCGTATAGAGTCCAAGTAAACATTCGAATACAGCCCAATATTTTCAAAGGAATAAAGAAGACTCTTAACGTCTCAGAGACAAGCTATGTTAATTAAAAGCTACAAGGCTTGGTTAATATTTCACATTACACAAAAGAAATTTCTTTGTTGACATAAAAAACAGGCAAAACTTACAATCTTGTACTGTCCGATCAGAAAACCCCAGTTCTCGGGCCAACGTTTTGATGCACTGTGCTCGTGGCCGATGTGGTCTTTCCTGTTTAAATTAATCAACAAAGCTCGATTAATTTGAAGCTTAACACTTTAAAATCGTCTGTAGAACTGCACTTCAATGAACTCCATATTACAGTTTACAGATCATGTTCGAATGTTCGACTAAAGAAGAATTTAAATTGAGTAGCAAACACGTTACCCACCAGATCTGGTCCTGGTGAACAAAATTGAATCCCGTTTTGCTTTTCCCAAACACCATGAAGATATCTTTCAGTTGTATCGTTTGGAGAAAACTTTGACGTTTGAGTACACTTCGAGAAATCAGCAAGTAATTGTGAACGAAGGGTTTGCAGTGCTTTTGTTGTCCTTAGTAACCGGTGATCCACGTGACCAAGCGTCGTGCTGACTCGTAGTTGTAAGACATAACAAAGGGCTACTTCACTTTGTCTGTGCCAAATTCCTAATCAACTTTCCCGTAATAACAAGAATGAATTGAAATGAGAGAAAATGTCTGAACTGAACTGGGAAAAGCGACAAAAAAATTTTCGGGTTTGACAATTGAGCTAGTCTTCCTCGCCGAAGTTGTTTTCTAAATAACGCCTGCTGAGGAGGCCACATACAAGCTGCCTTGACTGTTAAAATGGTAATGCTCAAATATTTTTTTAGTTTTGTTTCATTTTCTCATGATTTTCCGACTTTATTTCCACGTGAGGCCCTACGATTGGTGATTTGGTGGAATACACGCTGATGAAAATCGGCACTGACGAGTCAGAGGAAGATCTGGCAAAAAAAAAAAACCGGAGATCTAGACTAGAGGATACGATGAGCTGCAATTGAAGAGTCACCAATTCTCTTAGGAAGAAACACTGGAATTAATTCTGATTGATAAGTCCGAATTCAAATCAACGCCTGGCTGGTTCATTGTGGTGTGTTGTTGGAAAAGACACACGACTGGGACATTGTCCGTCCCCACCCAGGAAATGTGAACAATGAATCATTAGGGGAACCACAGGCATCCCAAAGGGACAGGAATAACAGTGATGGCAAAGCAAGTTTAAAACGGCAGAGACCTCCAGAAACTTCAACGGACACACAAAGAGGGAGGAAGTTTTCTTAATCTTACGTGTGAAATGTTCATATTTCGGAGTATTAAGCGTTGTAAATCGACCATATTTCGTTCCCCACGCGTGTTCTAATATTCCCAACGGTTCCTCGCGTAACCTAACACCGTGTCACGTCTGTGAGGGAACTTGTCGGGTTACCCTGAGATGGATTAGCATCGTGTCCAAGGGAATATTACTGAAACCATAATAAGCTCCCGCAGTAAGGTTCGGTAGCCTATGTGTAGCCGTACCCTCCCCCCGCCAAAGTGAAACCGTTTCACCCTGGGGGGGGGAGGGTACGGCTGAGCCCTAGTTGTTCAAAGCTGGGTTAAGATTACTCAGGGTAAGTGTGAAATCTAGTTTAAGATTCGAAAGCTTCAGTACAATTATTTTTATCTACAATTTGATGACTGGATGCCCATCAAAGAGGAGAGAAAATTATCCGAGAAAGACTTTCAAACAAAGGGACAAAGAAACTTGGATAAAATTTTAACCCTGGGTTAGCGCTGATCAGCCTTCGGACTAATGGGCCCTGGTCTTCTGGACTGAGCTGTTCAAAGCACGATTAGCTCCATTCCTGGTTTAATTGCCATGGCAACGTATAGTTGTTGTATGCAGCTGACCCAAGAGTAGTTTCAATCGTGTTTTGACCCAGCAGGCCTAGGTTGGGCACGGGTAATATGAAAATGGACGAGTCTTGTGCACGTCGGTCTCAGACATACAGTTCGCATCAACCTAATTTTAATTGTCACATTTCGATATAAATTTACAAACCAGCATAGTTCTTCACAAACTGCCCAGTCTTCTTGCAAACATTGTGCTATCACCGCAAAATATTTAATACGTTTTAACACTTTATGCATTATCCACATGATTCATTCAGTCGTAACAAAGCAATTTTGCCCTTAAATGTTACCGAAAAAAAAAAGACAAGAAAACTGTCTAAGAATTCCAACAATGTGACATTACTAAAATAATTACTTGTGAGCGCAACGAAAAGGAAAATCCTTGAAAAATGAAAATCAATCAACTTATGAGAAACCTTAATTCCTATCCTATCTAAGAAGATCCTAAGAATCCACCAGCTCTTCCCTAACGGTTTAAAATAATTGAATGCACCCATTACCCCCAACTTTATTAAAAATCCCCAAGTATTTTTTGCCAGGATACTTATTTTTTTCAATAAACATTATTATGATTAGTTTGCCACGAGACAAGAAAAAACTTTTTATCATTGATATCCAAATCAAATTTTTCAGGGGTTACTTAAAGTTCAGACGACAAAGGCAAAGAATTGTACTGTAAAATATAATGTCCTAGTAGAAATGCACTTGACTATCTACATCTCGGACACAGGCATCCCACTCAAATGCACAAATAACCCTCTAAGCGAGAAAGGCTTCACCTCATCTAGTTCCTGAGCTTTTCCGTTTAGAATTTTTTTCTCTTTTTTATCTTTTGTGTTTATTTAGTTATTTATTTTTTTATTTATTTTATTTATTTATTTGTTATTTGTTATTTGTTTTAGTCATTTTGAACTGAATTTATTTTTTTATGTAATTCACATAGTAGTTCTAAAGAATAAGGGTAACTTTAAATATTTCGCAAATACATATACAGTTGAACCCCGGTAACTCGAATTGCCAAGGGAAATTGAAATTACTTCGAGTTATCGGGGTTTTGAGGTATAGGGGGTTTGAACAAAAAGACCAGAAACACTTGATCGATTCCAGATTACGCGCATTATTTCTCTTTGCCGGGAAGAACTGTAAAAACTGTTTGTTTACGGACCTACAAACGTGTGATATCGAAAAAGGTCAATTTGTCATAATATATAAACGAGATTAAATGTAATATTCCGGTGCAAAATGTTATGGCTCATTAGTCCGCAAAAGTGGAAATCGACTTCGAGTTATCGAGGGTAAAATTACAAAGAAAATTACCTGAAGGGAAGTGAAAATCGCTTCGAGTTAGCGGGGTTTCGAGTCATAGGGGTTAAAATTACAGTAAACGTATGAGGCAAATCCAAGGGAAATCAGTTTTGCTTCGATTTAGCGGGAAATTCGAGTTACCGAGAGTTCGAGCTATCGGTGTTCAACTGTATATCAAAAATTTCTAAAGTTCACGTCATCTTCTTTAACCCACAACCACTGCAAAACCTCATGAAAGAAGTCTATTTAGTTCAAAAATAAATTAATTATTCGTCCATTTCCACATCGTCAAGTTCCCCTTCCCCTACCCTACCTAAATAATTTACAATACCTCAGTTATAACATTCTATATATCACTTGTATGTTCCATTTGTTCCAGTTTCCCGATTACCTCGGCCATTTTCGGTCTTTCTTCGGGATCTTGTTGTGCGCAACTTGTCACCAGGTTTCTTAAGACTTCATCTTTTATCAATGAGATCTGGTCTTCAGTCTGACGAGGAACGGGGAGTTCCCGGATGCACATTTCGCAGAGCAACAAACCGAAGCTGTAAACGTCGATCTGTGGAATGTCAAGAAAATTAAAATCGCTGAGCAACTATTTCAAAGTAAATGTACCTGACTTTTCCTGTCAAGAAATTCACCATAGGGCTACAATCAACCCAAAACACTAAGAAATGTGGCAACCAACTTTCAATTTCGGGTCAAACTTAATTGAGAATTGAAGCGGTTTGGGTTGATCCAGTTTCATGATTAGTCGAGCCAGCATCTCAACACATCAGAAACCAATCGACGACTTGGGTTTTCCCGACACTCGCATTTTCCCGCACTTGGCGCAGTTTAAATTTAATACCTTTGAGTTCTCATTGGTTTCTTGTGGGTTTTCGTCTCTTTTGATTGGTAGTTGCGATTGAATGTTTAGTGTGGTTTTGTGACACTCAATAAGAAAGCACTCTACCATAAAAAAAGTGTTGAACTGCGTAGGCAATGTGCTACTTACTGTCTCTTCATTTAGAGACAAGCACGCGTTGGAAAGGGGGAAAGGGGCAAATCAGCCTTTTTCTTCTCCGTTGAGTGCCTCTGTGACTCGCTTTCATCATTCACGTGCTTTTTTTGACTCGGAACGAGTCAGGTTCCACCCCACTCTCCCACCTTGAAATACAACCGAGTAATAGAATATCAAACCTTTGGCGACTGCTCTAACGAGAGGGCCTCTGGTGCAGAATATACGATAGCCCCTGGGTTTATGGTCCTACAGTGTCTCATGAAGTTCGCAGTACCATAGTCACACACTTTGGCCCGCCACTGGTTGTCTCGTCGCCATAGCAATACGTTAGCACTGCTCACATCGCGGTGAATGATGGGAGGTTTGTTTAGGTGCAGATAGTTCAGAGCCCTGGCCACGTCAAGCGCAATAGTGACAATGTTTACTTTGTTGAGCGGTTGTTTCTCAAGAAGATCTCTTAAACTGGTGTCCATCAGCTCTGTGACAAACAACGGGATGCCATCATCATTCGTTGCCCCGACGAACTGAAGAAGACAGGGATGCCGACACCTGGAGGCAATTTCCATCTCACGCATAAACAAACGCCTGTTGTGAGGAGAAAGAATAAGTTCGTGAATCTGTTTTACCGCCACTCTACAGCCGCGGAATTTTCCTTCCCTCACCACGCCCCAACCACCAGTGCCCAAGCTTTTTCCGTTGGATACTTCAATTTCGTCACGGCTGATTATCCAGTCACTTGATTCCAGGTCTGTGTGAGCTTCACTTTCACACGTTTCCTCGTATATCACTGAATCTTGTGGTCCTTCCTTGTACTGGCCGTACTTTTCCTGATAATTCAGTCTTTCTTTCAAGGCCTCCAATTCTCTTTGTAACGCCATCTTACAACTTTTTTCTTCCTCCAATTGTTTCATGAAGCCCTTTGATTGTCGCTCAATATCTGATCTCATGGCGCGCTCTTCGATTAATCTCTTCTCAAATTCAGCCCACTCGCGGTCAAACTGTTTCTGTATTTTACGACTCTTGCCTCGTTCTTCCTCTAACAAACTCTCTGCCTCGGCTCGGTGAAGTGCTTCTTCAGCTAAACTCTTGAGCAAAGCATCACACTTCTCTCTTAACTTCCCTCCGAGTATAACCTCTTCGTCCAGGCGCTTTTGTAAGCTAACAATCTTCAGATTGCTTTCTTTCAAACGATACTGCGTCTCCTGCAATAGCTTCTTTTGCTGAAGATATAACTGTTTGAAGTCCTCTGCTTCGTCTTCACTTGATTTCTCTCCCTTTTCAAGACTCTCAGAGCCGTGCTCGATAGTGTCACATTCCTCTATATTGTCAATAATTTCTGATCCATCCATGTCATTTTCATCCAGAATTAAAGCGTCATTCCTTCCTTGAAGAAGCTCAGCTTCAATCAGAGAGTGTCCTGAGCTTTCCATCCCAGAATCATCTCCACCATTCTTCACTCCTTCTCCTATGCAAGTGTATTCATCTTGGTCATTGTCTTCTGAATCAATACATTAAACAAACAAAAAAAAAGAGTTACCCTTCTCACTGGTTAAGATTTCCAGGTTGTTTCATTTAACCCTTTAACTCCCAGAAGTGATTAATGCATAACTTCTCCCTAAAATATCCATACATTATACAGCAAACAGGTAGTGAGAATACTCAAACTCATTAGGTAGGAGTTCTTTTCTTGATCAAACAACAAATTCTCATGGCCAATTTCTAAGGAAATGTGCAGCAGTTAAAAGGGCATTATTACAAATATTATTATTATTATTATTATTATTATTATTATTATATTATCTACCATTTCTGTCTCCTAGATCTAAATATTAGCTCCTCCCTTGAGCTGTAATTGACAATGACCTGATGTTGTGAGTGACAACTGGGATTGAGAGGATAAAGGGCTGTCCCTTCATGACAAAGGAGGGGGGGAGGTCAGGGATATTTTCTCTGACTTCACACAACCTCTAGATACCCTTAGCTACTCTCTACTCTCTCTCACTTCATCCAATTCAAATATTACCATCTTTTTGTACCTTTCACTTGCTGATCTGTTTCTTCCAAAGAAGCAGTGATTCTATCAAGTGACACAAACAAACCAGCCCCAGGGGAACATTTGAAGTACCTCTGACATCTGAATACTCCATCTGTGGTTCCTCTGTTTTGAAAACGGGGGTCCTGGTTATCAATAAGAACAATGAAAAATTATTTTGAAGTGATGCCTAAATAATCATATATTATCTAAAACTATTTGCTCAAACTAGCTTTATTAAAGGCTAAAAAATGGTTCATTTAAATTTTTAAAGAAAACCTTAAAAATCATTGTATTGGCCATATTGTGTTAAATTTTTTAAAGTGCAAGCTCTGTAAATAGTAATTAAAAACTGCATTTTACCCCTGGTCTGCAGTCTTTGGTCTGCATTTTACCCCCAGTATGCACTTTAACCTTGGTTCGTAGTCTACATCTTACATTGACCGATATAAAAAGTAAAAAGTTGACCATATAAGAAGTAAAAATTGATCTTATTAAAAGTAAAAAGTTGACTGTATAAAAAGTCGAATTGACTGTATAAAAAGTAAACTGGGTCTCAGAAATACAGAGGAAATATTGACTGATTTTGCACCCATATGCTGAGGCTGGTGTCCTTCTTACACAAAGTTACCCTCCCTCCAATTATGACAACATTCCAAGTTTTGACCATTTTAATTATCATAGCAGACACAAAAAATATTTGGCGACTAACAAACATAACTTAGTTTCTACAGTCTAAAGTAAAAAAGAGACACAATGCAATAAAATATTGTTTACTGGTATACTGACACATGCACACACTGGTGTGAAATTTGGCAGAAAATTCAGAGAATACATTTTCCTTCCGATGTACCATCCATTTGGAGGATAAATATGGTAATAAAATAATATTGTTATCAACAACTCACTGACATATCACTGACAGATTACCTACTGTTCACTGACAGGTGTTTAAAACTGTCCACCAACAGGTTTTTTTTAGGAAGTTGTTCTTCACATTTACCACTGTATTTTGGTTTGGTTACTTTGTTTGTATTGTCAGGTTAGAATTTTGCAATAATATACTGATGTGTACTTGCTGAGACTGAGCAAAGTTATTTAGAACAAGCTCAGTACTCTATCAATAGATCTCTTTAGGTTGCATGTTTTGTTTACTCATTTCAGGTCTCAAGAGAATTTCCAGTTTTTATCTTTTTGTTAATTATCATGTGTATGCAAGTGAATAAAGGGGGAATTTAAAAACAAACAGTTCTTGTGAGTATTTCCACATTACCTGACATGGGTAAATAGTGCAAGCTAAATAGGTTTATTGATCACATGGGCAGCAATTCAAACAGGAATCTATCACAGAATATTCTAAAATCTATTGGAGTAAAGCAGAGGAACTACATCAAATGCAGTTTGGAAATGGTGATCTGATCTTGATGGAAGAAAAATGGAGACATAACTGCACTTACCACAATCTCAACACCAAACATGATCCCATCATAAGGAGGAAGGGCGCCTTTGTAATGAACAACTGCATCCACATTCTTCTTCAAATCATCCAACCAAACAAGCACATGACATCCTTCATTCTCCGTCAAACCCCACCTCAGAAGATCCTGCTTGTCGTTCACAATGTTACATCTTTCACTATAGGATTGAACAGCCAACAAAATTTGGGCGTCTTCTGGTGTGATTACTTGTAAATCTTCTTTAAGACAATCGACCTCCAGACACTTCTGCTTCAGCCCACGTAAAGCAATTCTGTCGCTGTCTCCAGTGGGTTGTTCTTCTACTGGACGAGCTTCAAATAATTCGCCCTTCAAGGCTACTGGAGGTTGCGTTCCGTATACATAATTCGTCAACATTCCCCACAGTACACTAGAATCTTGGGTCGAAGGGTCTTCCAAATCGCGAAGGAGAATGAAATTACTCTTCTTTTCCATCTTTCCGACGGTTATTTCCGCGCTTTTAAAATTCGAAATAAACCACCACACCCTTACTGTAAATATTATTTCATAGCAAGCGACGATCAGCTGAAAATGATGATGAAATTGGAACGATGACGAGGCAGGATACTTTCACGATGAAGTTGCAGCCGTGGGAGTAGAAAAGGCTTGGTGATTTCGCGAAAAAAACGTATACTTATTTCCATCTAAACTCTCCCAAAGAGAAAAATAAATGAAAGCTAGGCTCTGAAATACTTTGACTAAAGGAAACGTCGCGAAAATTTCAACAGACTAGCTGGGACCCGCCTTCAACACTCCTTCCGCCATTATATGTATATTGTCCGTGAGAAGTCTGGGGAGGAAAATAAAAATATTCAAGATGGCGCTGGTTTAGGACTACAATGAACAACCTTTCAGGTACCCTGAAATATTCATCGTCTACACACTTAATGTACTTTTGGAATTTTTGGGGGGTTAAAATATTTCGTACAATTCTACATTTCAGTTATTTTATATCAAGTTTTTACCTTAATCTGCAGTTCTCGCCTTTCCGGCTCGTCCCTTGAATGTCCTGAATTTCGAGTTCTCCCTTGGGTGTACATCGAGTTCACCGGTTCAGAAAGCAACATTTTTATTTGAATGTATGTGCGTGGTATTAATTATTCAAGTTTTAAGAGATACGTTTACGAGTTTGTAAAATCAAATACCAACGAATGGCAGAACTTGGCTGACATTTTCTGAAGAGGCATAGGGCGAACTCAGGTGTTGTGTGCGAACTGTAACGGGAGTGGGGAGAGTGGGTGGGGGGAGTAGGGGAATCCCCTGCTTCAATTTTTTTCCCACCTCTTTCATGGTCAATATGTTTCTACAAACTACAACCCACATTCTAAAATTGGGTTCGTAGATATGTCAACTGCTGGGAATCTGAAATGTGGAGATGTTTCACGAGTAGAATAACATCTGCAAACCCAAACCCCAAATTTTTAGAGACTGCTTTGTCCTACATATTGATAGTCAGTGATTTAATGGAAAAATTACAGATTGAAAACCTGGTTATATTTAATGAGGGTAAATCTTTCCTGGTTTTTTTTTTTTTTTTGGTCGTCCTTAAATCTGCATAATATGGGAACTTGTCCATAGGATTGTGGGTGATTCATTTTGAATGCAATAGACAATGGAATAATCCAGAAGGATTGGAATCTGTGTCTCCAGAACCCCTGGTTTGATATTGGAAATTCTGTCTCATAAGTCTTGTAAAATTGTGAAGACCTAGTTTCTATCTAACACTTGATACTGAGGTTGTAGATCAATTGGTGAATATTTTTCAAGTACCATGAACTCTTTCTAGAAAAGTGGACTCTCCTGGGTATTATTGATTTCTGCTAACCATTGCCTTGTCAACTTCTCCTCTGTAGTTTGCGAACAGTTGCAAGGGTTTGTTTATCTTTGAGTGACATATCAGTAAAAGCTGAAAATCAGGATACAGATATACAGTACAAACCCACGATGCCTAGAGGTTGGCATGACATGAGCAAACCTGACACATCAGATTCTCAAAGGGGACGACCAAGACTACCTTCTTGGAGGAGAAAGTCAAGGGAAAAAGAATCTTCTCTTCCTTCAGCTTCTTCTCCAGACAAATTCTATGAGGGAAGAATTGGTGACATTGCAAATGAGAAACTAGATGTACAAGCTCCATCAAACTTAACAGGGACCCTCGATGTAAATGAAATCTCCAGCACATATTCACCAGTTGATCTACAAATAGAAACTTCACAGAGATCGAGTAGTCTTGATGGTATCACTTCACTCATAACCAGTGGTTCCTCAAACTCTGGAAGTAAAGCACTCAGCCCAAGTAGTCCAAAACCACTGGGGCTTCTTCCACTGTTAGCAGGGTCACCTAGTAATGTGGCAGGGTCTGTGGCACTACCATCAACTACACCACAGTGGATGCAGTTTTTAGGTGATCAAAAGTTCAGCAGAAAGGAACAAGATTTGAACTTAGGTTTGTAACTTAGTCTTCCATATTTATATCTGAGGTAATTTATAAGAGTTTTTACATCTGGTTCAGAGGTATAAGTGTTCCTCTGGTTTTGTGATATTTTCTCCTTTCTTCCACAGATAATGTTTAATGTCATTTTGTGAAATTGTGACAGTGATAGATTTGATAATTGCAATTACAGTTGATAACATGTACTTTTTAGAATAAAATTGTTTAATTGTCTTCTCATTAACCAAGCTTGTTCTGTAACGACTAATGGTTATACGCTTGGTTGTAGTTTTTGTTGTTGTTGTTGTCACTGTTTTTTTTAATGGATGGATTAGGTGTACAAAGGGTTGATAAAATGGCAAACAAGAAAAAAGCAAACAAATAAAGAAATAAATTAAACAAAAACAAAAAACTAAGGACACTGTCCAGCCATCTTGAGTAAACAAGCTTGGTCAATTAAGAATTTCCTGTATTGCTAAAATGCTGGCAATGAACTATTGGATACCATGGGGGGGGGGGGGAAGCATTACACTTAAGTCTCCAACAGTGTCTTTGTAGCTTAAGTAATCAGATTTTAATTGTCTGGCTGAGCTGGTTCCCTCATTTCTCATTCATTTCACTGGTAGTTTCACCTGCAGCCTCTTAACCCTTTAACTCCCAAAAGTGATTAACATGAAACTTCTCTCTATAATACACATACATTATTCAGCAAACAGGTAATGAGAATATTCAAACTTATCAGGTAGACACTGCTATCTTGATCTAGCACCAAGTTCTCATAACTAATTCACAAGGAAATGTGTAGTAGGTAGAGAAGAGAATTAATAGTTAATGGGAGTTAATGGGCTAAAAAGAGGATGTTCTCCAAGAGATCATGTAGTTATTATAAAGTGAGAGACAAATTTCAAATTGATTTGATAAATTACAGATGCTTCCTCTGGACATCAGCATTTAGATGAAAAATTTCAATTTGAGAAAAGTAAATGGGAGGAAGAAAGAAATGTCCTTGTAACAGAGCTAGAGGACCTTCAAGAGGAACTTGAGAACACAAAGCAAGCAAAAGAAGAAGCTGAACAAAGAATTGCCTGCTTGGAGGGAGAATTGAGAATCAAAGGTGAACATGTGAATGAGCTGGAACAAACTTTATCCACAATTCAACAAACACTGGATGAGTGCAAACAAAAAGTGTCCCGTGATTGGGTTTTATCACGGGATGAGATTCTCATGACAGATACCTGCCTTGGTGTGGGTGGGTGGGGCACAGTCCTGCTGGGAAAATTTAGAGGCTGCAAAGTGGCTGTGAAGCAGATCCATGAATTGATACTTTCTCCGCATAACAGACGTTTGTTTGAGCGGGAAATGAACATTGCATCAAGGTGCCGCCATCCTTGCTTGCTACAATTCATTGGGGCTACAAATGATGAAGGGACTCCTTTGTTTGTAACAGAGCTCATGCAATCTAGTTTACGAACACTGTTAGAACAGCAACTTCTCCCTACTTCAGATATCTGTATTCTATCCGTGGACATAGCACAAGCACTTAATTACTTACATTTGAGCAAACCTCCCATCATCCACCGTGACATCAGCAGTGCAAATGTGTTGCTATGGCGACAAGGCGAGCAATGGCGAGGCAAGGTTTCAGATTATGGAACCGCTAATTTTATGCAACAGATCATGACTGTGGCCCCTGGTGCTATGATATACAGTGCGCCAGAAGCACTCACTTCGAATCAGACAATCAAGGTTAGTTGTTCATTAAAATATTGAATTAGAATTACTCTGAGCCAGTTTTCACTAAGTTATATCAGTGCATAGTGCTTCCAAACCTGCTCCAACGGTCGATATGAACTCTTTGAAAAGCCTCTGAAAGTTGTGTCACCAACATGATATCAACATTGAAAACAACAGCGCTGCAAATGAGATTTGGAGCTCACTGATCTTCCACATATCTTTTTTTTTGTGCTCAAAAATTGTGATCGAATAAATTGATGGAAGGTTTTCGTTGGTCAGTCTTTTCAAATGACAGTAACCCATGGAGTATATTTTCACTAGGAGACGTGAACCAAAACTAAATGATTCACAACAATCAATCAGACCATGCTAATGTGAATTCAAACTTTTAAAAAGAAAACAGTCTAAGGCGCGGGGAAAAAACGAGTGACCGAGCTAAGTCGCAATTGTTTTTAACTCTGAACCTGATTGGTGAAGCAAGAGACGTGAGTAGTCCTGAGACCAATCGCAGCCTCAAGGAAAGCAAAACCCAAGAAATCTTGGACTACTCTTTGTTAAAAATTACTCTTACATCGAATATGCCGGTTTTTACCGTCATATGCCTGACCCATTTTCCCTTGCGCTTTTTGTTTCCTTTTCAGATCGATGTGTACAGTTTTGGAGTTCTCCTTTGTGAGATGTGTATCCGGGAACTACCAGATCCTCAGAATCGCGAAGAGCAAGTAGCCATGGTGACAAATTACTTGTTTCGAAGTCTGATGCGGCGTTGTCTTCAGACGGAGCCTAAGGAAAGACCACATATGGAAGAGGTTATCGAGAATTTGGAATCTTACACTTTGTGAAGAATGTTTTGATTCAGAACCAAGTGTTTTCTCCAAAGATAAGCCAATTAAGTTCAAATGTGAAATTAAGAGCTCCTCGCAGCTAAGAACACTACTGAAACGAGTAGTTGAAAATAGGACCTGAAAAAAATTCAGGCCCGTACGGGATTTGAACCCATGACCTCTGCGATACCGGTGCAGCGCTCTACCAACTGAGCTAACAAGCCAACTGGAAGCTGGTCAATGTGTTGGGTCCAAAAAAACCATCCAAGTGATGAATGATGATTTTAGATATATGAAATTTATATATTTGCACTGCGGTGAAGAGATGAAATAAAGAGCTCCTCGTAGCTAAGAACACAACTGAAACGAGTAGTTGAAAAATAGGACCTGAAAAAAATTCAGGCCCGTACGGGATTTGAACCATGACCTCTGCGATACCGGTGCAGTGCAGCATTCGGCAGTTTTCTGTAATATATTATTTCCATCAGGTTTTAATATCACCCGATACGCTGGGGAAAAAACTAGAGCTTCAATTAAGTATGCTGTAGACTCAACAGGTGAAAAGTCATAGAAAAATTAACTTAAACATACCTTTTACTCGAATTCTCCCCATGTTCTCAAATAAACGAAAAATGCACGGGCGCTGAGGCTCAAAATCCATCATCTACTGCAGTCGAAATTTTCTTGCCAGACTTCAAAGAGGACGAACCGAAAAAGGGACCATGCAGCATGTTGAGGTCGTCCGGTAAGAGTTAAAATTTTATGTTTGTAACTCGCAAAGACCTGAACTTTGTTTGAAGTTAAACGAGTTGTCTGTCCGACTCGAAGTTTCATGGCAAAGATGGACTGTGACCATTTAAAGGAAATAACAGGTGTTACCTCGAACAGTCTATTTGCATTGTGTCGAGTGTAAAGGCCAGTAGCACTTTCTTAATACCCCAAAGAACCCTACTTCGTTCCCAGACCCAGGCTCTCTAATTGGTTTCCCAGCAACGAAACCAGAAGAGTATGCACGTCAGTATTATCCGATTTAAGCTTTCGAACTGATTACATTGCAAAATGAGCATTACGAATCGTCATGCGAGGCACTAATATCTACCGTAATCTTTCTAACACTTTTGCTATGGTCAGCTGCTCTCCAACACTCCATTTGGTCTTGATGTAATCAATCCGTTAGTAGGTTATTGGTATCAACTGATTTTATAAAGTCATATAATTACAACAGATCGAAAGAAACGCTCAATTACCCTGAATTATTTACTTAAGCTCTGAGGCTTCGCTTTGGCGGTCGGAAAATTTCTCTCGGTGTATCTGGGATTCAAGAGGGTAAAAGAATCAATCAAGTGGAGGTTACCAAACTTTATCTTCGTTCGCGAATAGGTCTGGATTTTCGGGAACCGAGGAATTTGCGTAAAAGTATAGAAGCAAGAGGTGAGAGCATAATATTTTGATAAAAATAAAACACATTTCGAAGTCCGTGATTTTGATTAATTAAGTCGCAGGAAGAAGACAGTATTATGATGCATGGACTGTAACAAGTCGGTAGGATTAGTTTTCTTCTGGTAGGATGTTGTAAATTTTCGCCAGATAGTGAGAATCAAGAATACTAAAAATTGCCTACAACGACAGACGAACAGGACGGAAGAGTTTTACTTTGTTCTGTTTACCTAAGGGTCACCTGGGCACCCTAAAAATTGAAGGAAACATTGCGCTTCCGCAGGAAGCTCTTGTAAACTGGATTATCTGACAGCCTTTTCCTTTCTTTTTCTCTTGACGCCTGAGAAAAATGATTGAAATGTTTTTGGGGCTTTTGGTCCCAAGTCTCGACATGATGCGTGAGACATAATGCAATGCCTTTTCGTCACGATTTACTTGTCTTAGTTTTTTTACACATCTGTTTTTAACAAGATATTGTTGAGAATTTTTTCTCTCGTGAAACAGTGAAAATAATTGTTTTAATTTCGCTTGAAAGATTCAGCACAGACAAGACTTGATGTTGCTTTAGCAGCGAAAAAGAAAAAAAAAACCCTTTTTTGTAACACCTCTGACATTAATAACTAAAATGAGGAGTATTTCCGGCTGCGATTTGATAATAAATGCCAATGAAGACTAACAAACATACTTCACATACTTACTACACGTCTATGAGTAAACTGCAAACTCGTCATGCAGTCATGCAAAGGTTACCTTCGCATGTCATTGACGTCACAACAAACATATTATTATTTTCTTCAACAGTCTCCATGGCTTTACAGATGGTTCTCTCATGATAGAAAAGGAAAACGGACAGAGGTTTGGTTAGGTGGTATTCTTTCAGTGGTAGGATAAAAGACAGAGAGGAGAGATGAATTATGATTGATCGAGGAAGTTGAAGATGGTTCCTTTCTCTGAAATAAGCGAAATTAGACAAGGAAAAGAAGATCGACAATAAGGGGAAGTGTATTTGAAGGTTGAAGCAATGGAAAACAACTTGACTCATCTTGAAGGAGTTAAAACAACTTTAGAATATCAACTCCATATAGCAGAGCAGCAAATTTCCGATTTGCAAGGAGAGTTAAAGGAAAAAGATCAGCAAATAAGAGAGAAGGAATTAAAACTGATTTAACTGAGAAAACAGGTGGAAAATAAAATTGTCTTGGAAGAAATGTTAGAAGAAAAAGAACAAGAAGTTTTAAAGCTAGAAGAAAACATTAAAAAAATTAGGCAAGAAAACACAGAAAAAATTATTTCGGAGGAATTACGCCATGTCACAGATCACCAACTGAGAGAGAGACACGAGGAACCAACAAATTGGCAGAGAAATGAAAAGCAACTTGTGGCTGACATTCCACTGAATGAAGCGGTTACAGCGCCACATCTGAGGCTGGGAGAAAAAAAACCTCCATCGTTTAAATTGGAAAAAACAATGCAAGAGAACAACACAGAAATCTCGCAGAGAAAATTAATCACAAAACAACAGTTAGGAGAAAGTCAAAACAAGCGAGCGGAGTTACAAGAGGGAGAGAAAGAAGACGCGAAGATTATACTAGAGTTAAATGAAAAGTTACAGGTGAAAATAGAACACTGTGATGAGACACGAAACGAGTTGAAGCAAACAAAGGAACTTCTTTCAGCAAGTAAAAGTCAGTTAAAAGCAAATCATACAACGCTAAAAAAGAAGACGGGGCAATTAAAAGGTGCGCGAAAGGAAAAAGCGGAGCTAGAAAAACAAATTAAAAACCTGAAGTGTCTTGTAAAAAACAAAGAGGAGGAGATTGCGCGTAAAGGCAACGAGGTAATTCAACTAAGCGAGGAGCTACAACGAAAAGACAATAAAATTCAAGAATCACAAGCACAGATGAAAGGCATGCAAAGTCAAATGTCTGCAAGAGAGCAAGATATTACAAATCTGCAGGATCAAATATCTTCAAAAGAGCAAGAAATTGTCAATCTTCAAGGTAAATTCACTTCAAAAGAGGAGGAAATTTCCAATTTGCAAGCTAAGCTGACTGAACGAGAACAAGAAATTAGAGATCTACGAGGTCAACTGACTGTAAAAGAGCAAGACATAAACAATCTTCAATGCCGATTGACCACAACAGAAAGAGAAAAAACAAATCTGCGTGGTTCACTGACTGAAAAAGAGCAAGTTATTGAAGTTGTACAAGGTCAACTGACTGCCGAAAGGCAAGAAATTACCAAACTGCGAGAACAACTGACCCAAGGAGAGAATGAAATTAGAGATCTAAGAGTGCAACTATATGCAAGAGAGCATGACAGTAACGATCTCCGTGGTCGATTGACCGCAAGAGAGCAAGAAATTACAAATATAAGTAGTCAACTGACCAACAAACAGCAGGAAGTTTCAGTTTTGCAAGGTAAATTAACTTCAAGAGAGCAAGAAATTACCAATCTGCAAGGTCAGCTTACTTCAAAAGAACAAGAAACTACAGATCTGCGTCGCGAGGAGATTTCTAGAGTGCAAGAAAATAGAAATCTGTGTGATCAAATGTCTGCAAAAAACCGAGAAATTACCAATTTGCAAGGTGAGCTGACCGAACGAGAGCAAGACAAAAAATATCTTCAAGTTCAATTGACTGCCAAAGAGCGAGAAACTACTAATCTGCATAGTCTACTAACTGAAAGAGAGCAAGAAGTTGAGGTATTGCAACGTCAACTTACTTCCGGAAGGCAAGAAATTACCAATATGCAAAATCAATTGCGAGATTTAAGAGGGCAACTGAGTGCAAAAGACCAAGACAGTAACAATCTGCGGGGTCAATTGACCGCGTTCGAGCAAGAAATTACAGTTGTACGTGCTCAAATGTCTAAAAAGCAGCAGGAATGTACAGATTTTCTAGGTCAATTAAATACAAGCGGGCAAGAAATTATCAATCTTCGAGGCCGAGTGACTGCTACAGTGCAAGAAAACAGAAATCTGCTTGATCAAATTTCTTCAAGAGAGCAAGAAGTTATCAATCTGAAAGGTCGATTGACTTCAAAAGACCAAGAAGTTACTAATTTGCAAGCTCAACTTACCGATCGAGAGCAAGAAGTAAGAGATCTAGGAAGTCAACTGACTACAAGAGAGCAAGACATAAACAATCTTCAAAGTCGACTGATCGCAAGAGAGCGAGAAACACGTGTTCAACTTACTGAAAGAGAGCAAGCAATTACTAATCTGCAGAGTGAAGTAAATGAAACACGGCAAGAGATCACAAATCTGCGAAATCAACTTATCGAAAGAGAACGGCAAATTACAATTGGGCGAGATAACCAGGAAGGGTCTCACTCTAGTAGAAGTCACAATCTACGTCCACACGACTGGGAGATAAGAAAAACTGAAATTTTTGTGATGGATGAAGTACTTGGAGAAGGCGCGTGGGGAAGGGTTGTTCGTGGGAAGTTTCGCGGTTGTGATGTTGCAGTAAAGCAAATCCATCGCGCCCTTTTGACGACTCGTCACATAAGAGATTCTTTTGAACGTGAAGTTGACTTTGCTTCACGAAGTCGCCACCCTTGTTTGCTACAGTTTATTGGGGCAACAATTGATGGAGCGGAGCCCATGTTGGTAACGGAGCTGCTGGACCGTAGTTTAAGATCATTGTACGAGGAACGAAGTCTAATTGATAAGGAAATTTCTGATATTTCTCGTGATGTCGCTCTTGCTCTAAACTACCTTCATGAACAGAAACCTCAACCCATCATCCACAGAGACATCAGCAGTGCTAATGTATTGTTATGGCAACATGGTGACCATTGGAGAGGTAAAGTGTCAGATTATGGCACCGCTAATTTTGTGCGTGAGTGCTCAACAGACGATCCTGGAGCTCCAATATATTGTGCACCAGAAATTCTTCCTGGATCTCGCGATCAAACGATCAGCTGTAAGGTTAGTTACAACACTTCAGTTCCGACACAAGCTAGTCGCAACTACTCCCAGTGTGGATCTCATGAAAACCTGCAATTACTACCAATCATTTATAGATACGAAGATAGGTAAGAGGATGTAGGTACTTGAGGAAGGGGGTCCATAGTGGTTGGTTGTTGGATGCGCGCGCCTCAGCATTGCGCATTGTAGGAAAAACCTCAAGCTTTACGCCCGGGAAGCGCTTTCGTTACCAGAGTCGACCGAGACATTTTCATTATTTTCGTTGGAGGGATTTTGCTGTCAGAATTTCCCTTTCTAACTAGCTCCAAAGTGCAATATCAGCATTCAGACTGATATATAGATCACTGGAATGTGCTAATCATTATTGCTGTCATACGCTTATCTAGGTTGACGTCTACAGTTTTGGTGTTCTTCTCTGTGAGATGTGTATCCGAGAACTGCCAGATCCTCAAAAACGCGAACAACAGGTCAGAAGGGTGACAAAGAGAGTGTGTCACGCTCTCGTGAAGATGTGTCTGAAATCAGAACCTAGAAGAAGACCCAATATGCAGCGAGTTATCGACGAAGTCGATGGGTGGAGTAATTAATTCAGACTGTAAGAGCGTTCCGTTCGACTTCAATCAAGATAAACAATGACTATTATCAAATTATTTTCAAAACGATCCTAAATATAATTTATTGAGACAAGTAACCACCACGCAGGGGGGAATCAGCTTTCTGGCTTTCTGTTAGAGACTTAAAAACTTTACTTTTTGTACTGAAAGTTGAAAGGAATTGATGAAATGTGCTTTAAAAAAGTGTGCTGCCCGTTACAGTTAATTAGATTGAATGCGAGTACCCTCTGGAAGGATCTGGCATTTACAGAAATTAAATTTACCCAACAGGCACTTACCACCGGATGAAACGGAAGGGAACACTTTTCCTAATAGATTCAGAAGCTGTAAGTTATAGGTTAGCAGCTGTTTTTGCTCTTATTCCGCATATTCAACTGGCCTTCAGAGAACGAAGGATGATTCTTAATTCTTATTTCCACTTCTGCCTAATTTTGTCAGAGGCTTGTTCTTAAAGACAGGCTCACGATCAGCAATAAACACGATAGTTGATCCTTACAATAAACGTACTTAGGTCAGCGTTTTCTGGACTAGCGTAAAGGTAAAGTCGTTGTTCAGTCGGGAACAATCAATGCACTCTCTGTTCACTGAAAGGAAACTGTGACATTAATTTGCCCTCTCATCGTGACATGTTCAATTGTAGGGTGCGTGACATGTTATGTCAACGGTTGAGTGTGTGACTGAGAGCTCATGAACCGCAATTTATGCTGGGAATTGGTTTTTGAAGACAACCATTTGCTCAAGGAGTATTCTGTAAAGTACGGGGCTTGTGCTTTAATAAAACGTTTTCCTGGTTTGATTTGAGCATGTAACACAATCCGCAAAAAGTGAACAAAAGCTTCGCTTATCGCTACGTGCGTCTTATCATTCGGTACTCGATACTTCCGTTTGAACTTCTGTGATAAAAGTTCGAAGTAAATACTTGCGGTATAATTTTTCAAGCGGGAATCGGTCGTAATCCGACCTCCTTTGAAGTTTATTTACCTCTTTTCTTCATTTACCGTCATGTGTTCACATCATCAAGGTGATGCAGTGAGTGCAAAAGCACTTTGCAACTAGGTGATGCACACTACGTTTCAGTCTTTTTTAGCTGACTTCTGCTTGCCGGTTTTTTGGTTATCATGGAGATTCAGAAGCTTTGTTCATCAATGATTGCTTGTTATTTGTCATATAAGTGTTTATTTTTCGTAATATCTGAGTACTGTCGTCAAAGTTTATTTTAGGCAGGAAATTTTGACTCATTGGCTATTTGATTATGCTGAAAAAAAAATTGTAGATTTATCTCTGAGTGTAAATTCTGACCTTGGACTAACACCCTCAGCGTGCTAATAGTCAGTCTCCCACCCCTCCCTGAGTACTGATAGACTGCATCTTACCTCTTCCCAAAAATAGTTCAATAGTCCAAGGGACCAGTAGTCTAGTCGATATTTTACCCTACGCAGCCTGTACATGCGCAGAATTTGAACTGTGAAAGTATCGGAAGTGCCAGTGTTGACCATTGTTAAGTTCTTCGTTCGTGACTTAATTTCGTGCTGTAAGGTAGATATGGCCGACGCTGAAACCAAACTATTCTTTCTGAGAGAGGATATCGAGAATGTCACTTATTATAGACCACCTCGTTTCCGCTCAGGCGAAGAGATACGGGGTGCGAAATGGAATAAATGATGTGTTTATCCTGGGAGGTCATACCGAAGTAGTCATTGAAGGTGTAAGTGGACACGCGGAAAAGTTACAAGAGATTACCGATACAGAATTTAACGAACTTCTGAAGACTTATGTACCAGAGGACAGATACCAGAAGTATACTGAAAGGCGAATAGATGATCAAGGAGAGGTTAGTCGATTCAGTGCAAATTCCTGTTGCATTGTGGCTTGTGGCTTTAACGGTATTTGGAGAGCAAAGAAATTGATCTGATGGTAGATTTTACCTTTCGCACTTACAAGATGTGAAGAGTAGATTTTCTATTAATTTCAGATTTCAAGAAAGTTCGGTAGTACGTTACGTTAATGGATGCTCATGTTTAGGGAAGAAATAAAAAGTATCCTCAGTAGTTACAAGCATCATGCTGCACCAGTTACAAGTGAATTGTGTTGATCTGGCACCGGATGGCGCAGCACGAACAAAATGGCTGCTCAGTCTTATTCGAAAACACGCTGACGTTCGCATAACACCCTAAAAAATCTATTCCTTCTCTGCTTGTAACGTAAACAATGGAGGACCACAGCTCTCTTATGATTGGCTATTATGTAAAAACCCGCGAAAAACTCCGTGGGAGGTGCTTCTAAAAATAAAAAGATACGGGACAGGGTTGACTCAGAGGGTAAGTATGAAAAGATGGAAGCTCCGGATAATGGGCTCCTGATAAAAACTTAACTCCCACAAATCCTTCCTGGCTCTCGAAATAAAAAAAGTCATTCCTCTTTCTTACAAAAGCGAAATCTTTTTTTCTAAATAGTAAATTCTTTATTGACTAAGCTTGCTCGGTCAAGACGGCTGGATATTAGCCTCTCTATTTTTTTGTGTTTTAATGGAGCTCGCCAGCATCTCGGTCCATAAAAAGCAAAAAAGGAACTCAGCCGATATTCAGCCATCTTCGCCTTGCGTATGGTCTATAATTCATTTGTATTTCGGCCTAAATATGAAAATCATAAGGTTATTCCTTTGTAATGTCAGTGCCTTTACTGATGCAAGTGGACTGGAGCTTCTTATCGTGAGCTTTACTTCTCTTTGCCCTGGATGAGTCTTCTATCGCCTTTGTACTGCCTGCTAAAGGGAATGTTTGTTCACTTAATGAAATGGGAAGTGAGTCACCAATGTTTTTCTAAATGTCAGTTTACACAGCAATTTATGCCTTGGGTTAAATGCTCTTTGGCAGTATTAGGGTAGACTGCTGCCACATACTCCCTTCTTCAACGAATATTAAACTATTGATCAAAACTTCGTCAAGTAAAAAAAAAAAAAACACGTGAAAGCGAAAGGCGCCAAAAAATTTTGAAAAGTCTAACCGTCATTGGTTTTCAATTTTAGGTAAAAGCCGAGACAACAACGGTCATAAAGAAGGTGTTGAATTGACAGCTAACTCATGGGCCAAGGCAAAAAAAAGAACTGGGTGGTGAAAGAGCAAGTGCTTCATCCGCGCCCAGAAAGACTCTGCTTATGAATCTTAAGAAAGAAACTTCCTTCAGTTTTCAAGGAGAGAGGAAAGAGATAAATCGGCGGATTAATGACTTGCAATTGCACAATACTAATCTACAAGGATAATTGCAAAAAAGGATCATCAAAAAGCTGATCTGGAGAGACAAGTTGAATAACTGTAAAGGCGACTGGCTGGAAAAGACGAAAAAGCTTCCGGTTCCAGAAAGCAAACATTACTGAGAAGAGACCAAATCACAAGTCTTCAAAGACGACAGGCAGAACCCCAAAGATTATAGGCCACGGAGAACCAGCTGCTGGTTATTCAGGGTCTGCAAAACTGCTTTTCAAAAACTTTTGAAAGAAAAGACGAAAGGATCAATGAATTGGAAGCTCAAATAAGGGAAAAGGAGGATTCATTGGCCACTCTTCAAAATCAGGCGAGAGCAAGAACCCTAAGACTGCCTGAATTGCAATCAAGGGTGCTACCTGAAAGAGACCCACAAGTCAGCAGTTTCCATAAAGAACTCACCAAAAAAGACCTGCAGCTACGAGGGCAACTGACAGAAAAAGACTAGGAGCTCAATGATCTCCGGAACCAAATGACTGCCAAAGACCAAGAAGTTACCGACCTGGAGAGAGAACTCAGAGGATGGCAGCGGCAGGTCGTCGATCTGCGAAGACAGGTAATAGCAAGAGATCACCACATTTCGGATTTGCAAAGAATGAAAACATGGGATCAGCAGGTAATTGACTTGGAAAGACAACTTGCAACTAGTCACGTTGATGACTCCCAAAGGCAACTCAGAGAGAAGGAGAGGCAACTTGCTGCTAGAGACGAACAAGTATCTGATTTGCAAAGACAGCTAACAGAGAAAACCCAACAAGTTAATGACCTCCAGAATCAAGTCACTGAAGGGGACCAAGAAGTCATGAAACTACAGGGATAAATGACTGCAAGAGACCAACAACCTAAAGATCTACACAGGCAATTGACAGAGAAGGACAAAGAAGTTGCAGAACTGCGAGGACAACTGAGAGCGAAGAGTCAGGAAGTTGTTTATCTTCAGGGGCAACTGTCAGCAAGAGATCAACGAATCAGCGATCTGCAGAGACAGTTGCCTACTAGTAATCAAGAAATAACTGATCTGCAAAGACAATTGAGATCTCTCAATGAACAGGTTTCTGACCTGGAGAGACAATTACATGCAAGGCCTGAGAAAGAACCAGAGAGGTCTCAACCCAGAAGTACTCAACAGGAACGTGATTGGCTGAGAGGTCGGAATGAACTCACTCTTTCAGAGGAACAACTTGGAAAAGGTGCATGGAGAAGAGTTGTCTGTGGAAAATTTCGCAGATCTGATGTTGCTGTCAAATAAATTTTTGATGTCATTCGATCTGATCACGTCTCTGAATTATTTGAGAGGGAAATTGAAATGGCTTCCAAATGTCATCATCCTTGCCTGTTGCAGTTTATTGGAGCAACAATCGACGAGGGAGGACTCTTGTTAGTTACAGAACTTTTGGAACGCAGTCTTTGATCGTTGTATGAAGAGCAGCCTCTAATTGAGAACGAAATCTCCCTCATTTCATTGGATGTTACCCAAGCTCTTAATAGTTCTAATGTGCTGCTATTTCGACAAGGTGACCAATGGCGAGCTAAAGTATCAGATTATGGCACGGCTAATTTCGTACGCCAGAGCACGAGGAATGATCCTGGAGCTCCAGTTCTCGTGACAGCGCACCGGAAGCCAGCTGTGAGGCCACGGATAAAAATATGAGTTGTAAAGTCGGCACGTTTTACGTATATTTGTCTTATAAGGTGGAGAAAATAAAAATATATATTGATTCATGGCGCCAGTTTTACCTAAAAGAAAGCAATGTAAAAGAAGGGTTTCGCCTTGCTTAGACAGGTCTGCTATAATCATCACTCCAAAAGAGTAAGGAGTTGAGCATAAGCAGATAGAGGCGTATCAGTCTATAAAACAATTAATTCAGATTTCATTGTTCCTGGTTGGATTCGGAAGTGTTGGAATCTGATATTGCGGGTATCATCGACTTCTACAAGGACACTTTTAGAAAGAAATCCCTGGATCAACTAATTGTTTTTTCCTAACTCAGGTTGACGTCTATAGTTTTGATGTGCTCCTTTGCGAAATGTGTATCTCGTAGTTTCCCAATCTTGAAAGGCATGAACAACAAGTCGAAAAAGTATACAACGGCTTGCTTCAGGCCCTCATCAGGGGATGTCTTCAAGAAGAGCCTTGGAATAGACCCAAAATGGACGAGATTATAGAAGAACTCGAACATCCAGTTCCATGACATTATAGTTATATTTTTATGTTTGATGAAAAAAAATGGGACTGTTTTGCATGGGTTTTCTCTGATCAAATTACGCAGTGATTAAGTATATTAGTTTATCAGTTACTGAGCCGAAGCGTATGCAATAACAAAATTAGTCAAAAACTCGAGACAGGAACAAACGGAAATCAAACGCGCAAACGAAACTGAGGAAAGAAAAACATGCGCTAAAAAGTGATTTGTTTGGCTGATGCGTTTAGCGCTAAAACTGATTGGAAGCACCAACATCCCCCACCGGGGGTGGGTAGTTGGCTAGTATGTATGTCCAAGGATTGAGAACAATCGAAATAAATATGATTACAAGGTAGAAACTATTTTGGTTTGCTTTGTGTTTTCTTAATCAAGAAATCAGGGTGTAATGTGGATTCTTGGAATTTTGCAGGTTTGAGTAATAATTTTCGAAAGTATTCGAGTATGTTTTCATGTTAACTCAGGGTTCTGAGACCCGCCACACACCCACCCATATATAATTTAGCCCCTCCCCCTTCCGAAATAGAATGCTTGAATTTTTTTTTTGTTGATGGATTATTACTCGTTTACTGTCTGAAAATTATGTGGACAACATTCTCTACGTTTGCGACGTTACTGGATATTTCAGTATAGTATTATTCAGTATAGTATTAAATATAGTTTACTATATTCTCACTCAAAGTATAAAGGAATGCGCTCTCTTCAAGGGAAATGTTTATTTTGCCTCGAAAAGGTTGCAAGGCAAAGAATTAGAAAGAGGAACGATATTCGAAAGCGAGCAAACCAACCAGAGCGGATTCTTTGTGGCAAAGAAGTCTTTTTCGATAGGAGCAGCGATAAGGGAATCGACGGAAAGCTAGAGCCTCTTTCACCTGTAGATGCTGAACTACTTTTGAAGATTATTTCTTTAGAGGAAAGATAACAGGTATTCAACCGACAGCGACGCTCCGAAGGACAGACTGAACAGGTGAGCCATTGGTACGGATGGGGTCGGTTAGTGGTTTAGTGTAAATTGCCATCCATCAGTGCGGAACATAGTTCGAAGCAACTAGCTGCTTTGAATTACGTTGCTTGATTCGACTGAACTACGCCGAAGCAGAAGTTGAAGGTTTCTCCATGAATTTGTTTTTCCGTTGGTAGAATTGATACGCGACGATTCGAGTGTCAAACCAGGAAGTAGAATTAAAAAGATAATTTAATGTTAACATTAACATTAACATCGCTCTGACGAAGGGCTAACGCTCGAAACGTCAGCTTTTTTACCCTTTACGGTGGCTAATTTACGTTTTCAACTAGTTGTTAACACTAAATTATATGCCATAATCTCCCACCGACGCAGCACCACAGTTTCTTAAGAAACTTACCCCCAGAATTAAAAAGAGTCAGCCCCGCCATTAAGAACAGTGACTCCAATAAAAATAATGTGTATATGATCACACTTCGACAAGAGAGGAAGTAACACACAGAACATGTTTCTTCATTTCAAAAATCTGAAGAAGGATGGAACAGTACCGATCTCGTTTATCGAAAATAAACAACAGACATGCGTGAACGAATACAACGCATGATTGTCAGCTGGCAGAGAGGTTAAAGCTCAAGGATTCTGGTTAAATGAAAATTACGAAGAGTTGCTTGCCGCATCACCAAACCTATCCTTCGATATATTCATTTGTATTTTTTGGAACCAAGTTAGGTCCAAGAGGTCCCTGCCGTAAAGTTTCTAGCTTGGTTATTGTTTGCGAGATCGGCTTTATTTCAGTTAAGTTGATTGTGAATTTTTCTCTTGCGTGTTTACCCACGAGCTTTCAGTCATTACCACGTTTGATGACGTGGTTTTCATTTCGATAAGGCGATAAATTATAACGGGCGAAACCTTGCGAATCATGCGGCGATTAAAAGTGCATATATCTCCAATTAACGGTCTCTCCAGTCCACCGCAGTTTTTCTAGGGACTTCCTATGTAGATTCCTCACGAGAAATTCAGACATGTCTTCAAAGGTGGATTCCACTGTCGTAACTTACTGAACAATTAGACGCAATTGGAAGCAAATCACTTTCTCAAGTTGTTTTTAAGTTTTGTACTAGCAGTGGTCCAGTTTTAGACTCTTGTTTAACTCATCTGACTTGAAAATAACAAAATATCGTATAAGATTTTCTCGAAACTAGATTTAGGGAGGTAGAGAGGAAGGGAAGATGAAGTCGATGTAATCTGCTTTGCGACGAGCACGAGACAAAGAATAACATTGAGTTTCCTACCAGGCATCGAAACCCACACCTTTGGATTTCGCGCTTCTGCTAGATGCTCATAATTCCCAGCGATGGAACTCTTTTCCACACACTCGAAGGAAGAATTCCAAATTTGCCATGTTTCTTATTCTATGCTAGGAGGGCTTGTTAAAATAATTGTCGCGAAAACCAGCTACAACTGTTTATTCGCTAAAAACTACACAGCTCATATATTTTACGAAAACATCTGCCTTCTCTCCAGCGCATTTTTTGATATTACTGTCGATTAATACCTTTATTTTAAGCCTGATACAACACAACACAATGGAAGCGATACAGATTAATCCGAAACAAATTGCAAAACACAGAGAAAACAAGACCAGTATAGGTTTGCTTTATTAAGAGAGGTGATCGGAGGGATTCTCATGAAGAGGATAAGCTTCTAAGACCAAGAACACCTTCTACCGAAGGTATGTACGATCAGCTATCAAAGACTTTATTCGAAATTATTTCAGTTAGATACTGTGTATATGATTCAGTGGAATAACGCAGCATAGAACTCTCTCTGACTGGCTTGCTGGAAATAGTTGCAATTTTATTTTTGACTCTATGCCTGTCTGCATATCATTCCATGTCTGATATACACTAAAACAATTATAACCTGCGGGGTCGGAGAAAGTGTTGGATGATTACCTTCACTTCGATGAACTGTTTTTTTTTAAATCTAAACTCTTAAGCGTGCTTTGAAATTCAAACATGGTCCTTTTAAATGACCTGACCTATCCTCCCCCCTCTCATTATTTGAATAATCCCACTTAAGTTATTGTGATCTCAGATGCCGACGGGAGGAGAACATCCAGAAGTAGACATTCAGAACTTAGGTCTGCCAGACAAGACGAAGAGCGTCAAAAACTGGAATATGAGCTACAATTATAGAAAGAACAAATCAACAGCTTAACTGCGAAAAAAGGAACTTGACAAAGACTTGTCCGAAAAAAGGTAAGTACCAAAGCCAAACATGTCTTTTTTAGAAAGTTTTCTAATAATTCAAGATTTCTAGAAACTTCGATAAACGCTGTACGTGACACGAAGAAGGAAGTAGAATGAAAGCACAGATTAATTTTCCTGAGCAACATGTGAATTTAAAGAGCAAATGAGTTTACATCGTTTAGTTTACAAAATGAAGCAAAGCTGTTTAATAACATGACTTAAAAACTGCACTTGATGAATTATTTTTTCATATTCAAACCTCATGATACGTTTTTGTCGATAAAATCCAAATTTGATCATTTTATAGGACCTCTCCTCTCTTTCCCCCTCCCCCCTCACCATTGAACAGTCGTAAATTACGTTATCGTAATGTCAGGTGCTAAAGAAGGGCTAACGCACGAAACATCAGCTTTAGAAACTCTACGGTGGCCAATTTTTATCGTCAATTCAGTTGATAAAACCAAATTTATCTGGTTATACTCCCTCACCGACGCAGCACCACAGTTTCTTTAGAAACTTACCCCTTTTACTTATTGTTCAGAACTTAGGTCGGTTACACGAGACAAAGAGCGTCAAAAACTGAAAAATAGGATAAATTTGCTGAGGGCACAAACCAACACCTTAATTGAGAAAAAAAAGAAGCACTTGAGAATCTGTTGTCCGAAAAAGGTGAGTACCAGAGCAACTATGTCTTTTATGTGCGTTTTCTAAAAATTTAACTTTTCTAGAAAGTTCGTTAGAATGGCATATGACATGAAGCAGGAAGTGGAATGAAAAACAAATATCCAGTTGATTAGGGACTCATGAATTTGAAAAGAAAGTGATTTTTCTTAAAATTGGATCTTGAAGCCACGCATACCTTATTAACAATAAAAGTTAAACATGATCAATCCTTTTCACAAACGTGTTTGCGTTAGCCTTTTCCCGAACAGCATAAGCACCAGGTATTAGTTATTTAAAACTGAGAAAAAAATTAAACCTCTCTTTGTTCGCCGCATGAAATTAAAACAACAATTTTCCCTCACATAACAAAAGTCAAATTAGCGGAATCTGAACTAAAGCGTGACATACCTTTAGTTTCGCTTTATCAATTTCATGATGATCTGTTTCAACGTTTGAACTGAATTCGGTCAAAAGTGATTCTTCAAGTGATAACACAAAATCTGTTGAAGTTTACTCACCTCTTTTCTTCATTCACCATCTGGTGTTCGCGTTATAAGGGTGCTGCGGATACTGAGTGCAGGAACATTTCGCAGTCACAGTAATAATTCGTTTCCGTAGATGTAATACTATCTACTTACCTGACATCTGTCTGTCGTTTTTGATTATCATGGAGATCTAGAAGCTTTGTTTTGATTAAAATTGAATTTTTTTATTAAAACTGTTATCAATGTAAATTTTCTCTCATTCCTGCATCTAAGCAAAAAAATCTTTCCCACAAAGAGGGTTATGGATTGTTATTGTTAACCTGTCAAGCTCAGTCAAGGTTCCTTTGGCGGCTAGTTTCAGATTTAGTGTCGTTTTTACTGAATAATATTTTTTGGATTAACGGGTCCGTACCGGCTTAAGCCGACTGACTTAATACTGAGTTCTATGAATCTATCGAAAATGACTCTGCTAACGCTGGTTATTTCAATTCAAAGCTTCTTCAGCCAGGCAGTTTTCACCAAAATGACTTTCAAATTACTAGTGCAGCTTCCTGATCGATTTTTTCACGGTTCTGAGACCCGCCACACCTCGACCCATACTTCTATTCAGGTCACCTCCCCCCCCCCTTCAAGCAGGGGTCATTAAACGTGTCAGTATCGTGTTTTTGAAAGATTATCACTTGTGTGCTGTCTGAAAAGTATGTGGATAACATTCGCTCTTTTTGCGATTTTACTAACAAATTCAGCATGACTGCGAGTTATATTCTCATTCAGAATATTAGGGAGTGCGCCCTCTTTAAGCGACACGTTTATCACGCTTCTAAAAAGTTGCGAGGCAAAGAATTAGAAAGAGGAACGATACTCCAGAAAGATCCAAATGACAAAACGCGGTTCGTTGTGGCTGATCGCAACGAAGTCTTCTTCGATAGGAGCTGCGTCGAGGGCCTCGACGATAAGTTAGAACTCCTTCCAGACGCATTAGCTGAAGACCTTTTGGAGATTATTTCTCTAGAGGAACGACTTCGGTTTTTCAACCGAGAAACAAGACGGGTGAGTCATTTCCACTGATAAAGACAGTGAGAGTTGATATGTCAGTTGCGATGCATTAGTCTGGGAGATCAGACTTTGAAGTAATTACAGCTGTTGGTGCTTTGAATTGCGTCTCTCAGTTCTACGTCATTGGAACCAAACAGCAGTAAAAGTTTTCTGAAAATTATCGTTCTATTGGTAGACATAATATACGTGACGACTACAGTGTCAATTCAGGAAGTAAAACTTGTAAGTCAGCCCATTATGAACGATGGCTCTAATTAAATCAAATGCTTCTGATCACACTTTGTCTAGGAATGTTGTAACTAATAGTACATTCTTCTTTATTACAAATATCCAAGAATAATCACACCATAAAGATCTCGCCTTTTACTGATAATACGAAACAGATAAGCCTAAAATGGAAAAACAACACATGATTGCTAGGCTGGCATAAAGGTTAAATCTCAAGGGATTCTGGATGAATGAAAATTACAAAAAGATGCCTGTCGCATCACGAAACGAACATTTATCGCTTAGATCCAAATTGTGTCCCGCCGTAATCCAGGCCATAAAGTTTTTAACATGGTGATGAGTTTCGAATAATTTACATTTGATGTGAGTTGATTGCACATTTTTCACTTGCGTGTTTGCTCACGAGCATTCAGTCATAACATGTTTGATGACTTGACTGGTTTTCATTTCAAGTGATCTATATCGGTTGATATCTTAGTAATCATGTGTCGAAATAAAATGCATTTATCTCCACTCAACGTTCTTTTCAGTTGATCTCGATGTTTCTATTGACTTTATGTACAGAATCTTGATGAGAAATTTAGAGATGTCCTCCAAGCCGGATCGATTCTATTGTCGTATAACTTTGTGAAAAAATTGAACGTAATCAGTTTGATGCAAATTGTATACTCTTACTGTATTTGTATTTAAGTAGCCCATTAATAAGCTTTTCCATCTATTAATCGATGAACGAAACAATTTAGTTTAGGATTTTTCTGCAGCTCCAATTGCATGTGTTATCCGGCCAACGGATAAAGGAGGCTGTTATCTGTTTTGTCAACGGCGTGAACGTAAAAAAAATCAATGATCTGAGTTGCCCACGAGACATGGAGCCTTCGGTTTTCGTGCTCTGATGCTCTTAGTTCTCAAAGTATCCTGAGCCCACAGATTGCAAATTTATACACATTAGATTTAACTAAATATACATTTGGAATTTCCTATGAAGAGGGCATTGTCAGTTTTAACTGACAACAGCAACTTGATAGGGTGAACAACTCTAACTATCGAGCTGTCAGTCAAAGATGCCTGGTACCAGATGCTGGAATCAGAGCAGATATGGAACAGATCATTGATGAACTAAATTTATGTAACATACGATTCGTTTGGCTTTTTCTAACTCCTCTCTAAAGTTTTTTGAATCAGCCAATATTCAGATCTATACTTCACAGAAATGTGATTCAAGATCAGCTAGCAAAACAAACAAATTTAGAACAAAGTGCAGGATCTCAAAACACACAAGGAGGGGTGCATGATTCAGATCAAACCAGAACAAGTTGTAAAACATTTTATTTAACCCAGTTATAAGAGAAACCAAGAGTTAAGTATAGGTTTCTTTTCAGGAAGGCAATCGGGAGGACACTTACTCAGATGCTGAACTGTTGAGACCAAGAGCATCTTTTACAGAAGGTATGTACGATTCTATCAAAGACATCATTTCAGTTAGATACTGAGTGTAGGTCACGAGGATGATTAGGTGGAATAGTATGGAATAGAACTCTCTCTGCCTAGCTTACCGGAATTAGCACCTTACTAAATAAATTTCCGACGATAGTTATGTTTGCATATCGATGTTTATTCGTTTACCTCCACTTTAGTGAATTATCGTTTCGTGTATTTAAACTTTTGCTATACTTTGAAATTCAACATGTGTTCATGTCATTCATGTAACTGCACTTGGTAAATAATTTTTTCATATTCAAACTTTCTGATATGTTTTGAAAATCTCGTGATCGTTTTATAGTGTCTCTACTTCCCCCCGCCCTCTTCACCACTGAACAATCCCACTTGTGTCATTGTAAATCTCAGATGCTGACGGGAAGATATCACCCAGACGTAGAAGGTCAGAATCTAGGTCTACCCGACACGATGAAGAGCGTCAAAAACTGGAAAATGAACTAAAATTACAGAGAGAACAAATCAAAGACTTGACTGCAAAAAAAGAAGCAGTTAAACAGCAGTTGACCGAAATTGGTAAGTACTAATGTAGATATGAATATGCCTCAGTTTTAAGTACGTTTTCTAATAATTCAAGATTTTTAGAAAGTTGAATAAAACGGTGCGTAACATGAAGCAAGGAGTAAAACGAAGCACAAACGTTCAGTTTATGAAGCGATTTATGAACTTAAAGAGCAAGTGAGTTTACTTTATGTAGTTTACAATATGAAGCAAATGTTAAATAGCAGATTCATTTAAGCTTCGATTCCACATGTTTTTAATTTTACTGAATTACTGCTCTTTGTGAACAATTTTTTGATTTTCGAACGTTCTGATACGTTTTGAAATTCGAATACGATCCTTTATACAACTTCTCCTCCTCCACCCCACCACCATTCAACAATCCTACTAACGTTATTATAATCTCAGATGCTGACGGGAGGAGAGCACTCAGAGGTAGAAGGTCAGAATCTACGTCTGCCAGGCAAAATAAGGAGCGTCAAAAACTGGAAAATGAACTAAAATTGCTGAGGGAACAAATCAGCACCTCAATTGAGAGAATTAAAACACTTGAGAATCAGTTGTCCGAAAAAAGTAAATACTATTTACGTAGAGTTTCTAATAATTAGAAGTTGCATATAAGTGGCTCCAAAGTACAAAACTTGAAGTATTTTGTCAAACACTGATCAATGTGTGGTGGAAGAAGTTAAGGCTTTAAAGGAGATTGGATTCAAGTCGAGATATATCAAGTTGACAAATCATTCAGCCAAGGTTATTATGTTTCGTTCTACTTGAGGTCCGTAGGCTCTGAAGAGTCTATGTTCGAGGCTAAATTCAATAAAATTCCTGCTCAACTTTCTAGTTTAAATTTTGTAAATATTAATCAACATGAGCCAAACGTGAGCCTATTAAAAACATTGCAGGTTCCAAAACATTAAAGCCTTGTTCCTGTTCTGTTATTTTAGGGAGAAACACGAGACGTAGTCGAGTGTTTCTTCCCACTTCTTGAGTCGGAAAAAAGCTAAAAAGAAGTCCCGGAAAAGGTCGAACATGGCACAATTTGGCAGATGACGTGACAGCTTTAGCTCCGTTCTGTGCTCTATACTCTCATAGAGCACGCTCTTTCAACCAGTGACAGCGCGCGTTATATCCGAACTTTATTATAAAGTAATTTCGTAAACTCGTTGAAAGCTTAAAAATGATGCCTGTCACATATTGTGTCAGTAGGCATTCGAAAATTTCCCATCAACTTAAAAGTTTCCAGTCCATCAATGATCTGTTCCATATCTGCTCTCATTCCAGCATCTGGTTCCTGGCATCTTTGAATGACAGCTCGATAGTTAGAGTTGTTCACGCTACGTACTTGCTGTTCACGCCACTCAGGGTCTGGTAATTCCCCAGTGCTTATTTCACACAGAAGAACTCCAAAACTGTAGACATCAATCTTGGATAAAAAGAAAGGGTATTATACCGACTAGATTTTTAAGTTTATCTGAAATATTAAAAGAAGTTTTGGACACTATTAAGAAAAAAAACACACAGAATGGTTCCATTTGTCACACTTGATGTCACACGTGATGGCGTACATAGATTAGCTTCACGAGCCACTACGCTGTACTAACAAGACACCTCTTTATACCGGCCTACACATGCAAATTGTCATGGCAAGCTGATCCGTCTGTTATATCCATTAGCTTAACTACTCTTTTAGCTGCCAGCTAGAAAAGTTAGAGTAAAAACCAAGATTAGACCTTAGACGATCTAAGGGTGTAAATATAAATAGGATTCCTGTCATGTGACAGTGTAATAGCTAGTTTTTCTTGGGTGTACTGATTTCAAGTTGTTTGACATGGAAATATTCCAAATGCTAAGAAAAACGCAAGAATCAACAAGCGAGTGGCACATTGAAGTATATTGATTGATTAAGATTACCCTCCTAGGTAGTAAATTGTATATTTTCTTCATTTTGATCGATCAAACAACAAATAGAATTGAACAGTGGGCTCAATCATTTCTTAGCTACTTGTATGGTCCCTTAACTGACTACTTTTCTTAAGGAGAGATTTACATGAAATTTCTCCCTATCATATCCTTACATTATCCTGCAAACAGGCGATGAGAATACTCAAAGTTATCAGGCAGATTTTTGTTATCCATCATTGAATACCAAATTCTCATAACTAATTTACAAGGGAATCTGTAACAGCTGTTACAGATATCATGCTGTTTATGGAAATGGTTGTTAACCATTCACAATTAACTGATAGCAAAGATGGCAACAGAAATGGAAAAAGGCTCCTTTTTTCAAAGGAACTTGCGAAGGAAAAACTCTAGTGTAAAATTTCCATTTACACTCCTGCGAAACTTTTGCGGTATTAATTCTGCTTTACATTTTTAATATCGCCCTCATCAATTAAAGAATGATTTCCATCCGTGTTTCCTCTAATATTGCCCAAAGGAGGCGACACGCGTTCTTCCAACTACGCCTAACTCTGTTGTTTGTTGTATTCTTAGAAAATAAGGGAAGCAAGATTTCCCTTATTTCCAGCGGTTGTTCATGCTCGTCACGCAACCCATCCACTTCCTTTAAAGGACCTTTATGTGGCACGTAAAGAGTCCATAAGGTGACAATAGATTAGGGAAACAATCATAACACTGACTGTGACAAGAGCGTTTCTTCAAAAACTGTTGTTTATATTTCTTATATTTTGATTTTCATCTCCGTAGACTTTGTGGCATAGATTTAAGTTTTGAAAAGTGGTCAGTCTCAAAGAACTTGCAAATGTAAGAAGTGTGTTCGCTCTACTCGTCTTTGAAGTCAGCTTGAAATTGAATGTTGCCTCTTTATTCGTGAGCGTCAAACAACAGTTGAAGCTGGCAAACATTTTAAACTGGAGTAGTGGGGCTACTTTAAAAAGGATTTTCATTTTAAATGATGCTCATGCACATGACAAACAGGAGCGAGAAAATTATAAGTTAAATTAAATTACTTCAGCTTCCTGATCAATTTTTCTTTCCAACAGAGGCGCAAAGTACGCGACTCTGTTTCCAAGATAATTCACGGTTCTGAGACCCGCCACACCTCTACCCATACTTTTATTCAGGTCCCCCCCCCTCAAATACAGTGTCATTAAACGGTGTCAGTATTATTTTTTTGAAAGATTATCTCTTGTGTGTTGTCTGAAAAGTATGTGGATAACATTCGCTATTTTTGCCTTCCTGATAACAAATTAAGCATGACTGCGCGTTATATTCTTACTCAAAATATTAAGGAGTGCGCCCTCTTTAGGCGACATGTTTACCACGCTTCTAAAAAGTTGCGAGGCAAAGAATTAGAAAGAGGAACGATACTCCAGAAAGATCCAAATGACGAAACGCGGTTCGTTGTGGCTGATCGCAACGAAGTCTTCCTCGATAGTAGCTGCGTCGAGAGCCTCGACGATAAGTTAGAACGCCTTCCAGACGAATTAGCTGAAGACCTTTTGGAGACTATTTCTATAGAGGAACGACTTCGGTTTTTCAACCGAGACACAAGACGGGTAAGTCATTTCCACTAATAAAGACAGTAAGAGTTGATATGTCAGTTGCGATCCATTAGTCTGGGAGATCAGACTTTGAAGCAATTACAGCTGTTGGTGCTTTGAACTCCGTCTCTCAGATATACGTAATTGGAACTAAACAGCAGTGAAAGGTTTCTGAAAATTATTGTTCTTTGGGTAGACATGATATACGTGACGAATCAGGAAGTAAACTTTATTAGTCAGCCCATTAAGAATGATGGCTCCAAATCTATTGCTTCTGATCACACTTTGTCTAGGAAAGTTGGAACTAATAGTACATGCTTCTTCATTACAAATATCTAATCATAATCAAACCGTAAAGGTCTCGCCTTTTTACTGATAATACGAAACAGACAAGCGTTAAATGGAAAAACAACACCTAATTGTCAAGTTGGCATAAAGGTTAAATCTCAATGGATTCTGGCTGGATGAAAATTACAAAGAGTTGCCTGTCGCATCACGAAACAAACAATTATCGCTTGGATCCAAATTGTGTCCCTTTGTAATCCAGGCCATAAAGTTTTTAATATGGTAATGAGTTTCGAACAAGTTACATTTTATGTGAGCTTTTTGCACGTTTTTCACTTGAGTGTTTACTCACGAATACTCGGTCATAACATGTTTGATGACTTGACTGGTTTTCATTTCAATTGATCTATAACAGTTGATATCTTGGGAATCATGTGTCGAAATAAAATGCATTTATCTCCACTCGTGAACGTTCTTTCAGTTGACCTCGGTGTTTCTATTGACATTATGTGCAGAATCTTCATTAGAAATTTGGAGATGTCCTCCAGGCCGGATCGATTCTATTGTCGTATAACTTTGTGGAAAATTAAACGTAATAAGCTTTTGTTTCTATTAAAAAATGAACGAAACAAGTTAGTTTAGGATTTTCTGGAGCTCCATTATCCGTTCTGTCAACGGCGTGAACGTAAACAACCAATGATCTGAGTTGCCCACGAGGCATCGAACGTTCGGATTTCGTCTTCTGATGCTCTGAGTTCTTAAATTATCCTGAGCCCACAGTTAGCAAATTTATACACATTTTATTCAACTTAATAGAAATTTCGAGTCGCCTATAAATAAGGCATTGTGATATAAGTTTCCTTTGGCCTTTTCTAAATCCTCTCCAAAGTTCTTGAATCAGCCAATATTTAGATCATAACTTCACAGGAATGTGATTCAAGATCAGCCAGCGGAACAAACAAACAAATTTATAAAGCTCAGGATCTTAAAACACCATAAGGAGGGATTCAGATCAAACCAGAATAGTTGTAAAACATTTAATTAAACCCAGTTATCAGAGAAACCAAGAGTTAAGTATAAGTTTGCTTTCAGGAAAGCAATCGGGAGGACACTTACTTAGATGCTGAACTTTTGAGACCGAGAACACCTTCTACAGAAGGTATGTACGATGTGATCGAAAATACAATTTCAATCAGATATTGAGTGTAGGTGATTAAGCGGAGTAGTATAGAATACAACTCTCTCTGCCCAGCTTACCGGAATTAGTACCATAACAGTTAAATTTCCAACGATAATTATTTTTGTATATCGATATTTCGTGTATTTAAACTTTCTGCTATGCTTCGAAATTCAACATTTGTCAATGTTATTCATGCAACTTCACTTGGTGAATAATTTTTTCATATTCAAACTCTCTGATATATTTTGAAATTCACATGTGATTTTTGTGATTGAACAATCCCACTTGCGTTATTGTAATCTCAGATGCTGACGGGGGGAGATCACCCAGAAGTAGACGGTCAGAATCTAGGTCTGCCAGACACAACGAAGAGCGTCGAAAACTGGAAGATGAACTGAAATTGCTGAGGGAACAAATCAATACCTTAACTAAGGAAAAAAAAGCACTTGAGGGGCAGTTGTCCGAAAAAGGTAAGGACCAAAGCAAACATGCCTTTTTCAGTAGGTTTTCTAAAAACTTATGATTTCTAGAAAGTACTGTAGAAAGGTACGTGACACGAAGCAGGAAGTGGAATGAAAAACAAACATCAAGTTGATTTAGCGACTCAAGAATTTCAAAACGAAGTAAGTTTACATTGTGTAGTTTACAAAACCAAGCAGAACGGCTTAATAATAATAGATTCATCAAAACTTCGATTTGAAATGTCTTTATTTTACTTAATAACTGCACTTGGTGAACTATTTTTTCATATTCAAACTTTCTGATATGTTTTGAAACATATTATCCTTTAGAGGGCCTCCTTGCCCGCCAATAACCGTTGAACAGTCACACTTAGTTTATTATAATCTCAGATGTTGGCGGGGAGAGAGCATTCAGAAGTAGAAGGCCAGAATCAAGGTCTGCCAGACACGATGAAGAGCGTCAAAAACTGGAAAATGAACTAGAATTACAGAGAGAAAAAATCAACGACTTGACCGCAAAAAACGAAGCACTTGTCAAGCAGTTGACCGAAATTGGTAAGTACTAAAGCATACATGAATATGCCTTTTAAGTAAGTTTTCTAATAAGTCAAGATTTCTAGAAAGTTCAATAAAACGGTGCTCAACGTTCATGATTTATTGCCTAAAGAGCAAAAGAGTTTAATTTATGAGGTTTACAATAGGAAAAAAAATTATTAAATAACTATTCATTTGAACAATCCCATGTTTTTAATTTTATTATAATCTCAGATGCTGAAATGTTTTGAAATTCGAATACGATCCTTTTCTACGACGTCTCCTCCCCCCACCCCACTGCCATTGAACAATCCCACTAACGTGATTATGATCTTAGATGCTAGGTCTAGGTCTGCCAGGCAACATGAAGAGCGTCAAAAGCTGGAAAATGAACTAAAATCGCTGAGGGAACAAATCAACACCTCAGCTGAGAGAATCAAAACACTTGAGAAACAGTTGTCCGAAAAAAGTAAGTTCTATTTAGGTAGAGTTTCTAATAATTTGAAAGTTCAGTAGAAAGGTACGTTGCATGAAGCAGGAAGTAGAATGAAAAGCAAACATTCAGCTGATGAAGTGACTTATGAATTTGAAGAGGAAGTGTGTTCACGTTGCATTGTTTACAAAATGAAACATGACGGTTTAACGATAGATTCCTTTAAGCGTCGAATCGATATGTCTTAATCTCGATTAATAATTGCACTTGGTGAATTATTTTATCATAAGTAAATTTTCTGGTATGCTTTGAAATAAAAATAATATTAAATTTTTACCGGACCTCTCTTTCCTCCTTTCCCCGCCATTAAGTAAACCCGCTTACGTTACTTTAATCTCAGAATCTTGGTGTGCCAGACAAGACGAAGAGCGTCAAAAACTGGAAAATGAGCTTCAATTGCAGAAAGAACAAACCAAAACCTTAGTTGAAAAAAACGAAGCCGTTGAGAAGCAGTTATCCGAGAAAGGTACTTTCCAAAGCAGACATAAAATTTTCATATGTATACAGACTCTGAAATTTTTTCAGTTGCTCCCAGCTCAAAAGAATCGATGAAGCCAGCGTAGTTGTTGTTGTTGTTGTTTTTCTTTTGATGTAACTGTTTTTGTTCCCGTCAAGGCATCATATTTCTTTGTTCAATAGACGTTCACGTCATTTGTCATCTTGGCAGATTCGCACTTGGCACTATTTGACCAGCAACGAAGAAAGTGGAAGGAGGAGAAGAGTCAATTGATGAAAAGGGTAAAAGAACTCCAAGAAAACTTAGACGAAGTAACGCAAAATGGAAATGAAGAGAGAGATCAATTGATGGAAAAGCTAAAAGAACTCCAAGAAAACTTAGACGAAGTAACTAAAGGTGGGTGTGAAGAGAGAGATCAATTAATGGAAAGGTTAAAAGACCTCCAAGAGGATTTGGATGAAGTAACACTTGATAAGGAAGATGCTGAACAACAAGTATTGAACCTGAAAGCAGAGTCCAAAGTAAATGAAGAACATGTGAAAGAACTGAAAGAGTCTTTATCCACAATTCAACAAACTCAAGATGACCACAGACCAAAAGAGTCCTGCGAATGGGTTATTTCTCGCGACGAGATTTTCTTGACAAATGAGATGCTTGGGGAAGGTGCGTGGGGAAAAGTTCTCCTGGGAAGATTCAGAGGCTGCAAAATAGCTGTGAAACAAGTTCACAACTTGGTTCTCTCCTCTTTTTCCAGATCCTTATTTGAAAGAGAAATGAAGATTGCTTCAAGATGCCGCCACCCTTATTTACTGCAGTTCATTGGGGCAACAAACGATGAAGGACCTCCTTTGTTTGTAACAGAATTAATGGAAACCAGCTTACGAGCATTGTTAGACCCCCAGTTACAACCTCTCTCTGACTCAGAGATCTCCATCATCTCTTCGGACGTAGCACTCGCTCTTAATTACTTGCACAAAACGAAGCCTCTACCCATCATCCACCGCGATCTCAGCAGTGCTAACGTGTTGCTATGGCGTCATGGTCGGCAATGGCGGGGCAAAGTGTCAGATTATGGTACGGCTAATTGCATTCAGCAAATAATGACACCTGGGCCTGGAGCACGGATCTATAGTGCTCCTGAAGCTTTTACTAAAGACGAACAGACAGTCAAGGTAAGTGATAACATTGTTGAAGAAATGAGCTGCCGTCTTGAACCCACAATTTCCGTCATAGTTTTCGAAGCTGTCCCTAGTACGTTGAGTGATATCGGGAACGCAATTTCTGGAGGAACACGATTGTCTTGAAAAGCCCCACTTATTTCAGTAAGGTCAAACCTCATTTATCTCGGTTTTGCAGTAACAAATGTAATCAAAGCCAGAGAAATAACGAATTTAGGGATATCTCCCTGCAGACAAACGTTTTGAAGTAGAGAAAATTAATCAGATACGTTTTGACAAAATGATAGCTGCAAAATCTTGCTATCTTATGTATCGGATGGACTAATAAAAACATAACCTGAAAGAAAACAATAGTTTACACCCTAATTTTGTTGCTCCTGATCCTTTTTCCTCGAATGGTCTTTTGCGGTTATGGCCCTTCGTCAGAGCGATGACGAAGGCTAACGCTCGAAACGTCAGCTTTCCCAAACTCTTTACGGTGGCCTATTTACATCATCAACTCAGTTGATAATACAAGTTAACTCTTCCAGAAGCACCACATTTTCTTTATTCATGTAGCTAATAATGTCGGGTTACATGCATGGGTAAACTGATTACGCTGCAAATAGCATGTGGTATTCGTTTATCCGCTACTGCATCAATTTTGTATGAAAATTCATCATACTTTTGATATTGTTGTCGTCAGATTGATGTGTACAGTTTTGGAGTTCTTCTCTGTGAGATGTGCACACAGAAATTGCCAGATCCTGATCAGCGAGAGGAACAGATATCCCAAGTGACAAACCAAAGGTTTAAAAGCCTCATACAACGTTGCGTGCAGCCAAACCCTGAGCGGCGACCTGATATGCAGGAAATCAGTTCTGAACTAGAGGCCTTGTTTGAACCCCAGTCAGAAAGGGAAGGCGATATACCATCAATTGGAGAGATAGAGCAAATGTTTAGAAGTGCTGCTACAGGAGCTAAAGATAAAGATCAGCCAAGGGAAATACATCAAGAAGCAAATGAACCGCACACGACGAGCAGCATACATCCAAGTCGAGAAATACCTGACTGGATCATCCCACGTGACCAAATTGAGCTGACAGATGAATGGCTTGGCAAAGGATCATGGGGCAGGGTCTTCGAGGGCAAGTACAATGGCTGTGCTGTCGCCGTGAAGCAAATCCACGAGACTCTTCTTTCTCCTGACAGCCAAAGTTTGTATGCGCAAAAGATAGACGTGGCTTCAAGATGCCGCCACCCTTGCTTACTCCAGTTCATCGGAGCAACTAACGATGAAGGATTTCCTTTGATTGTGACAGAACTCATGGAAACAAGTCTAGAATCATTGTTAACCTCGCGATGTCTTTCAGAACAAGAAATCTCCTTTATTTCTAAGGATGTAGCTGGGGCATTGAGCTACCTCCACCACAAATTACCTTCTCCAATTGTCCACCGGGACGTTAGCAGTGCCAATGTGTTGCTGTGGCGGCAAGGTCACCAGTGGAGAGGAAAACTGACCATTTCAATTGCTACAACTTTCCAGCGGGAAACCATGACAACTGCTCCAGGTGATATGAAATACAGTGCACCAGAGACAATTACTTCAACACAAACTGTGAAGGTTGGTGATGATTTGTAATTTAACAGATAGTGTAATATACCATACGGTTTGAACCCAGATGTCACAACTGATTGTGCGGTTTCAACGTCTGAGTGAGGGTACGATCAAGTGCTCTGCATGGCTTCGGATCCAAAAGCCATTTGCTGAAATGCAGGAAAACATTTTGCGGCTTTTTGACGTTAAAATAATCCTCCACTGGAGCATAGTTGCATTTCGCTAATAGTCCTCAAAATCGTCAACGATTTCTTTAGTTATTTTGAGCTATTATTAATTTACCCTTGACGTTTTTGTGATATTGGCATTAATCTAAATCTAGCATTGCGCACAATTTGGCCTTTTGTCCATTAACAGTAAGTAAGTCAATATATTTTTATGTTTTGATTAGGTGGATGTCTACAGTTTTGGTGTTCTTCTGTGTCAGATGTGCATCTGGGAATTGCCAGATCGTGAAAGGCGCAGCCAACAAGTCGAAATGGTGACACACCATGTGATTCAAGACTTGATAAAGGAATGTTTGGAAAGAGATCCCAAGGATCGACCAGGCATCGAGAGAATCGTTAACGAGTTGGGCAAGGGCAAGCCCCACTTATTTCAGTAAGGTCAAACCTCATTCATATCGAGTCGGTTTTGCAGTTGCAAGCGTAATCAAAGCCAGAGAAATAACAAGTTTAGGGTTATGTCCTTGCAGACAACCGTTTTGTAGCATTGAAAATGAATCAGATACGTTTTGACAAAATGATAGTTGCAAAATCTTAACAACATAACCTGAAAGAAAACAATCAAGTTTTCATAGTAATTTAAAAGTTAGAAACCTGTTCGAATATAAAAATCATTTGTCTAATTTAGTCCTTTGATCATGTAAGTGCAGTCATTAAGGTTCATAGGACCATACGACTCATTATAACCGTGAGAAATATCCATAATTATCATCATCTAAGCCTGATACACCGGCAACTCGTTCAAAATTTGCTTTTTGTTTCTAAAACGTACCTTTTCCCTGCGATTGAGCTCGGGGCTCCTTAGTTGAGGATCATATTTTTCAATTTTTGTGTAAATTCAGTACATGTACTTTTTTGCAGCTTTAGAATATTTTATAAGGTGCAAATTCGGGAACCTCGGGTGTGCCATTAAGGCCCTATATATCAGTCATTTAAAACCAGATACACGCTTCGGGGAGCTTTGAATATGATAGGCTATTTATACATCTCTGGTCATTTTGTTTTATAGCGTACTTGACCTTTATAGGATGTTGTGCACCAAATGTCTTTTTTGTTGTTGAGAGAGAGAGAAAGTCTAAGAGGGGTGAGAGAAGTTGAACTTGTGCCTGAACCTGGCCATTTCTCTGTTTTAAAAACAGAAAACTCGTCGGTCAAGAAAAAAAAAGACCAAAGGCTCGTTTTCCACCTGTGTTTTGAAGTCAAGTTTAACATTGCTTTTTTTCTATTATTTAAAAGTTTAAAATGTGATCTTTTGGTTGCTGTTATACGGATTAGCAGCCCAGAACTGCGAGAGCAAAGAATTGTACACATAGCTTAAACCTTTGATAACTTCGGAAAGTGATTTTCATAACACGAACAAGCCGGGTTAATTGGAATGCTTTTAGCTGCCAACCAAAATTGTAAAGAATATATAGGTATACTTAAGGAGTAGTCATTAAACTCTTATTACAGCTTCTCCGGATTTTTGCATATTTCACCTTTGGTTAGTCACTACAGGAACAGAACGGAAGCAAAATGAACGCGAGCGTGTTTATCATTGTATGTTTTAGTAGTGTCAACTGTAAGGAATGTAAGTGACTCCATTTTATAAGAATGTGAACCATTTTGGACTAAACGAAGGAAAATGATTCATTTGTAACACCGACTCGCGAACATCTTTGAATCGAGTTTGAAAGACTTTTAAAGTATGACCAGAAAGGTGTTTGAGTTTTTGTTTGCTCTGCAGTACTGTAATTCAACCATTGATAAGTATTCGAAGTATTGTACATGTACGTAAATATTAAATTTTTAGCTTGTGTGAAATGAGAAATATTTATTTAGTGTAGTTTTCCTGAAATTTCACGCTGATAAACGGCACGGTTACGAGAAGTCATGCAACTAAAGATCTGTAACGATCACTGAAATTTCGAAAATGCGATCTTAAGGTGCAAAGGGAGAGAGCAGCTTCTAAGGCGGGTGATTTTTTTTTCTTTGCTTCAGTAGAGGCACAAATTTTGAACGCCCATTAACCCTTTTACTCCCAGATCAAATTTGTAATTCTCCTTACTGTCAACAATACAATTCTTATAATGTTAGTTCAGAGAATTTAGTATTGGATCAACTAATTATCCCCAAATTGATATTTTTCTTTATTCTCATCACTTACCTGGTTAATACTGTATTGATATTGTAAGGAGAAATTTTGTCTTGGTCACTCATGGGAGTTAAAGGGTTAACAACAGGCATGTCCAGTGACACCTCCGCTACCACCATGGTCATGTAATGGTGTTCATTCAAAACCAGAACAAAACGAAGCCATCTGAAATAGCTTAGCTCAACCCTTACACGGACCATCTTGAAAAAACGTGTCTCAACTGTCCACCATTACCATACAGCCGGCAGCTGGTGTAACCCTCCCTACTTTGTAAACGTGTTGGCCAGAATAAGAGGAAAGAGATATACGAATGTTAGATAGGGGTCACCTAAGGCTTACCTACCTTCTTGAAATAGGCCTTTAGTTTTATTTGATCACAATAATGAAATAAACTCAGCGAATAACTAATCGTGCTATTATCGAAGTTAGCCTAAACAGGCAGAGCGTGAAGCGAGAAACACTAGGAGTATGACTCTGTGGTAATAATGTCTTTTCCAAGTTGTGAAAATTTCGTTCCATTTTGTTTATTTTAATATCATTATTTTTTTGTAAGATATTTACAAAGGCAGCTCTACTCTAAAAAACAACATTCTGATCCAAAAGTATTTGTTACTCAGCTTAATTTGAGATATGTCTGCGGTTTATCCAGAACACCATGGTTACTATACTGTAGAAATTCCCGTCTAATCCTGTTTTGTTGAGGAATCTATTTCATCTCCCATACAAATGTCTTGCAAGTTAATCCTCGGACGCTCGCGATAAAAGCCTTCTTCTCCCAGTGAATTATTTGCATGTTTACTGGCTTGGGCACCCCATCTACGGGTTTAAGGCCTGCTGAATTATGTCACTAAAACCTCCAGCTACTTGAAATATGATCCAAGATGTAGAAAGAGAAATATCATGTTGAGCACAACGAGACGAGGACGAGAATTTTGTTCTCTAGGGTACAGAAATTCAACATTTGAATCAATTCTCCTGAAGAAACAGGTAAAGGATTAAAGTTCATCGGGAGTATACTTCCGAACCCAGAATACAAGATCCGGAGCTCAAGTTTGATTGATTGTCACGCTTTAAGAAGAAGAGACATAAACATTTATTTTATGAGCTCTTATGTGCTATAATGATATGTTCGCAGTAACGACCTTGAAGTGCCCACTTGACCATATGGTCTAATACAAAAGGATTCTGTTCGCTAAGCAGAGGTTTCCTTTGTTTTTCGCTCTGAGTGTCGGTCGATTGTTTTTGATATCAACTCGCAGTTATGCTATGCAACGCTTGTTCGAACTTTTTTCTCGTGTCATCGAGAATAGTTCGGTTTTTTTATCTGTAGTTTGACACCAGATCTTGACACCTATCAGTTTTAGCGATATCCTTCGCTAGTAACAATCGAACTTGTTGTTGAAATTTTGCCTAGAGTTATTGTGACTAAGTGACCGATGGTAACCATTAACCAGATTTTGATTATTTCCAAAAACAGTATGCATTTCCTTGGTTGAAAACTTTCAATATTTGAAATTGGAAACTATGCAGGCTTCCAGAAGCAAGCATATTTCGTATTCCAACGCTACGACAAAGCTTTAAAAAATAACAACGAAATTATTAGTTTAGAGTTGTTAATAAGTGCGAATCACTTGCCGCTTTCTGATCGATTTTTCGTTTTACTTGAGGTGCAAAGCATTTGAGTCTGGAGTAGGTATGTTAATTCACGGCTCAAAGACCCACCCCACCCCCACTCATACTTTTGTTTAGCCACCCTCCCCCAATAGGGTGTCAGTTAACAGTCTCAGTATTGTGTTTTTGAAAGATTGTCACTTGCTTACTGTCTGAAAAGTGTATGGATAACACTCGCTCTTTTTGCGATGTTAAAAACGAATTCAGCATGACTGTACATTACCTTCTCATTCAGGACATTAAGGAATGCGCCCTCTTTAAGTGACATGTTTTTCATTCTTCTACGAGGTAGTGATGCAAAAAATTAGAAAGAGTAACGAGGCTAAAGGAAGATCCAGGTGACAAAACGCGATTTGTTGTCGCTGACACAACGAAGTCGTCTTCGATAGGGACTGTGTTGAGGGCCTCGACGATAATTTGAAACTCCTTAAACACGCCTTAGCTGAACTGTTTTTGGAGACTCTTTCTCTTGAGGAACGACTACAGTTATTCAACCGACAAACAGAACAAGTAAGTCATTTCCACCGATAAATACAGTAAGAAATTCAATGTAAGTTGCCATCCATCAGTCTGGGATATCAGACTTTGCAGCAAATACTTCTGTGGGCGCTTTCAGTTCTACTGACTCGGAAATAAACAGCAGTGAAAGGTTTGGGCATGAAAATTGTTCTGTCGGCAGACATGATACTTGACGACTGGAGTGTTAAATCAGGAAGTAGAAATAATGAGTCAGCCCATTAAGAACGATGGCTTCAATTAAATTCAACTGCTTCTGATCACACTTTTTCTTACAAAGTTGTAACATGCAACATATGCTTTTCCTGTACAAAAATGTAATAACAAATGAAATGGTTATGATCTCTCCTTAAACTGATAATAAGAAACAGACAAGCGTAAACGAATACGACTCATGATTGTTAGGACGGTACAAAGGTTAAAGCTTAATTAAGGATTCTGGTTGAATGAAAACTACAAAGATGCTTGCCGTATCACGATGTGTGCATTTATCGTTTAGAACCAAGTTGCATCCCGTTGCAATACATGCCATTAAAATTTTAAGATGGTTGTTACTTGGGAGACCGCTTATATTTCAGTTGAGTTGACTGCGCATTTTTCTCTTGCGTGTTTACATTCAATCGTATCGTATCGTATCTTATGGCTCGGCTTTCATTTCGATAAGCGATAAATAGCACCTTCAGAATTATGCGGCGAATTGAATTGTAATTATCTCCAATTTAACGGTCTCCTTTCCATCTACGCTAGCTGCTACACATTCCCTTGTCACTTAGTTAAAATAATTTGGTATTAGATCAAGATGACAACTTCTACCTGATAAGTTTGAGTATCCTCATTACCTGTTTGCTGGATAATGTATGGATATTATTGGGAGAAGTTGAATGTTGATCATCGCCGGGAGTTAACGGGTTAATCGTTTGCCTCACGATGTAAGAGTCGGTCTAATCAATCGTGTAATGATACGCGACGTTTCAAATGCTATACTGCTAACCTTCGTCAGTCAGGCGATTGGAAATTGAAAAGCGGTTGAAATGTCGCGATCGATACACGATTGATAAGACTGATTCGTACATCGTGAGACAAACAATTAAACATTCAGTTATCCATAAAACCACGACGAACAACGACACTCTCCGTAAAATTTAAATATGTTTTTGAAGGCAGATTCCACAGTCTTGACTTACTGAACAATTGGACTTGATCAGATGCAAAATATTTACTTTAGTTGTAAGGATGTTTTGTACTTACAGCGGCCCATTTTAGACCCTTGCCTCCTTATTCAACGCGCACAAAAATTTAGTTTAGGATTTTCCAGAAGCTACATCAATTTGGATCGTGACCGAACTTCTCGTTCACTCTTAACTAAGAGGTTTTTGAAAAAAAAACCCTTGGCTTTTGGGTCACTTGGGCTCAAAATAGCCTTCGAAAGCGTTACTGCCACTATCAAAGCTCTTTTGACAAACAGTCAAGTGGCCTAGTTATTTAACACTCAGAGTTATGAAACGTAACACTCGGGCGAAAGTCGCCTCACAGCAGAATTTGTCAGGGAAACAATTGAAAAGACCACAAATGAAATTTTCCAAGTCTTTATTAAAAATAATGTCTGGCTTTGTTCTGTGTGATTATCTCTGCGGATTCAATCGTGATGCCAGACCGCGTCAGGCCTGATGTGACACGCATCCTACTAGGATCAGCGGAGTCGAAAGCGTAATGTTTGTAGATATTTGTTGAACAAAGAAAAAATTCTGAGTCCCCATCAGGAATCCAACCTCAGACCTTCGGATTCAGGCTTGTTTTGAAAGAATTATTTTCATTTTTGCAAGAACAGTTAACGTCAATTTTTCAGGATCACGTGTTTGATTTTCTATATTATTTGAGGGTTTTCCAATACACACAAATAGATTCGATCGGAGAAAACACGCTTTCCATTGGAAAATCGGAAGTCTGTCGGTAAAATTGGAAAGATGCTACCGGAAAGGCTAATGATTAAATACATCATTAGTCAACATATTTGATGATTTGTATTCCCTGTTCTACTTCTTTCGCAGTCCGATGGAGTCCGATGGACACGAATAGATTAATTTACATAGGCATAACGCCTTTTTGTGCAGAACACATATCTGCATCACAATTTATTGAAGAAAACGGGAAGATATATGTCAGGTGGTTCTTCAATGTCTGTGTCGCGCGCTCGAAATGAGCTGTCTCGAATGAAAACTTCGAGAATCTTATATTTTATTTGTGCATTTTGTTTGGCTAGGTTGCGTGCTTGTAGCGGGCTGTCATCATAGCTTTATAAAGGACAAGAAATTTAAGTCAATTGCACTTGCTCCTGATCTGTGCTTGCAAAGAGCTGCCTCGCCTCGCGGCCCAGAGAACGGGGCATATTTCACGTAAATTGCACTGTGTCAAGCGCCGTTTCGCTTAAAGACTTAAAAAACGAGGTATATTTCAAGAGATCGGCGCTTGAAATGAGCTCTTTCGTTTCAAGGCTCAAAGAAAGCGGTATATTTTGGTTTCTTAATAATAGCTTCTGACAGAAACCATTTCACGTCAAGAGCAGAAATCATTTTTTTCGGTGAACTCTCCTCTGCGCAGATAAGCTTTGTCACATGGCATGTGCAGATTGTAAACTTAAAAATTTCTATCATTCAAACTCATTGTCATTTTCATCATAGCATTTGCCATTATTATTAGTATCATTATTATTTGTGATCATTAATGCCTTTCTATTAGTTCTTTTCGATGGAATTCTCGTCGTTTTTTAAACAATATGAAGTATTTTAGCTTTAAAACGCCAAAATTCTGCACTAGATGAGCGCTATTTACTTTCTTGTTAGGTAGAGAAGGAGAAGAGGAACTCAGAAAGAGAGTTCATATGCGGGATGGGTCAGACACTAACAAGGTTAAACTTTTGGAGAGCACGAGATGAATTAAGAGATACAGAGGCGACCATCAGATACCTAAGACGAGAAATCAATAGAAAAGAGGAGAGGGTATCAGAATTAGAGAGAATTAAAGAGGAAAGAGACGCAACAGTTTCTGATCTAAGAACACAACTGAATGAGATGGACCGGCGAAATATTGAACTCAGGCAAGAGCAAATATCTTCTCAGAGCCAACAGCTACAATTGAGACCAGAAGTAAAAAAAAATCGTGACTGGGTTATAAATCGAAATGAAGTTCAACTAATGCGTAAAATTCTCGGAAAAGGAGCATGGGGGAGCGTGGTCCAGGGTAAATTTCGCTGCTGTGATGTTGCTGTAAAAGAAATGCATGATGTAATTGTGTCTCCTTACAACATACAACTGTTTGAAAGAGAAATCGACATGGCCTCGAGATGTCGCCATCCTTGTTTGTTGCAGTTTATTGGGGCAACGGCAGACGATAAGAAACCGCTCATTGTAACGGAACTCATGGACACAAGCCTAAGGAAACTATATGAAGATCACAAACTTACCGGAAAAGAAGTTTTCGTTATCTTTCTAGATGTGGCTCTAGCTCTAAACTACCTGCACCAAAACACACCCGAACCCATAATCCATCGGGACGTTAGTAGCGCTAACGTATTATTATGGAAAAAGGGAGAGCAATGGAGAGCAAAAGTTTCTGATTATGGTACAGCCAATTTTGTTCGCCAGAGCGTGAGTAACTACGCAGGCGCTGTACCTTATTGTGCACCGGAGATCGTTGATGAAACGGGATGTAACAGCTGTAAGGTAAGCATCTTGAAGTCAGTTTTCCTAAGTACTCTTTCCGCATTTTTAAAATTTTAACTGACGATAAGATGTTTTATTGCTTGATTTGCTCTTAAATATCAATAGCCCACCCTCAGAAAAGGAGCAGAAACGGATTAAGATACCTCTGAATTAAATTTTGTCTTTAGGTTGATGTCTATAGCTTTGGTGTTCTTCTTTGCGAAGTGTGCATCAGGGAACCGCCAAATCCTAATGAACGTCGTCGCCAAGTAAAGTTGGTAAGGGACGACGGATTTAGACACCTTGTAGATAGCTGCCTGATGGAAGCACCCGGTGACAGGCCAAATATGGAGGAGATAATAACTAAACATTTAAACCAAACTTTGCCTAGTAAAACGGCCTATCTTTATAGTAAGACCTTACCTACTGACGAATCACTGCCCGTTGTAAGTATTTAATCAGTCTTCGCGTTTGTTACATTGATTGTTACATTGAAACAAAGGTAAGAACGCGTTTAACTTAAAATCGAACATCCTGGTAGCAGGCAGACAGTCACATCTCTTAACAAGTGCTTTATTCGTTTTCGATCGCTTTCGTAGAAATCGTAAACCGATGGAAAATGCGGTCTACTGCTTAGTTATAACACACACTTTCACAAATTTTTTAAACGCTAAACTGCTCAGGATGGAATCGCAGAATCACAGCTCAGGTTAACAGCATTAAGTAAGGTTTGATAAGGTCATTATTAAGATCGATTTTTCATCTCTATACCTGAGAATTCCAAGTTACGGCCTTTGCATAACTTTTCAATAACTGCTAAAGGCTTAAGTGTTTTAAAATACAACACTTTTTTTACAGCTGTTTTCATAGATGTTTGGTAGTGGTCAGATATTTTGCCTTGTTAGTTTTCAACAAAATTCCAGAACAGTATTATGAAAATTTTGATCTCATATTTCGAAACTTTTGTTATTCTTGCGGTCTTATCGTCTCATTAACAGCCGCTTTTTGGAGGCGTCAAGGAATGACGCTCCCGGTCCTCAACAAAAGAACGTTGTTTTTTTATCCTACCCGAAAAATAAATGATTTTAAAGGAGACTGCAAAGCACAGATCGTTTCAGGAAAAACTTACAGTCGAACCTGTATAGGGTGGTCACCCTGTATTAAGCGGCCGGTTTTCAAAATCCCGAATCTGTTTCCCCTTTCAATCACTGTAATTTTCACCTCTATTGGACGCTTACCCCTATTAAGCAGTCGTGGTCACCTTTGAGTGAGTCCCATCGGCCTGTTTGTATCGTCTTTTGTCCGCGTTGAACGGTCACTTAAAGCGGGACCACTCAAATGAAATTTAGAATAATCTTTGAAGTAAAATTTAATCCATATTTCTCTCCCGAAATCAGTGTAAGTATATATTTTTCGAGCAACTTTTTTTTGATTTAACGGTCAATTATGGCATAAAATGGCGTTTTTTTGGTTTTTATATTTCCGCTCTTCTATCCCCGCCATTTCCCATGGGTAACCGCTTAATACAGGTTTGACTGCACATGACGTCAGCTTCTGCTTTTGTTTTCAGAAACTTTTGTTCTTTGGTTATACGAGTGGCATAGAGATGGTTGTGCTTTTTGAAGTGCCGCTTTTGTTACCAAGGTCACCTATAAAAATTTACAAATATATTATAGGAAATAAACAATGATCAAACGAAATAAACTAGTGACGAGCGGCAAAGCAAAGATGACAAAGAATTTAGGTGGAATTTTCTATGTATAACCCGATCAGACAGTGAGCTGCGTGTTAATTTGTAAAATTTTTTGTTATTCTTGCGCAAGTATTTGAGTAAAGTAATTGTAAATACTTACCCACTAAGCAAATAAGTATTCGAGCTTTTTTGAGGTATATCATTTGTAGAAACCATATTTATTATGGTGGCTGCTAACCTGATGTATTACTGCAGTTTAACTGGAGAAAAGTATTGTTAGCTTTGTACATGTAAATTGTAGATTTGAGTAGAATTAAAGCAATAGCTCTGAATGATAGCTTATGTGGGTTTCATAGATGCGTTGCGCTAACAAGGCCCTCAGGAGAGGAATAACATACATGTGGTGAGGACAGGCGTGGTCACAGAAGTGTGGCATGGAAGATGCCTTCGCAGGTGTGTCACGTGTTTCATTTAATGAAAGCACCATTACCAAATCAAAGCGGAATTCTAACGTTATCAGGATGGCTACCTGAGACGTTGATTATCATTCAACTTAAAACAAAACGGTGCCAATTAAAATCACTCATCTCAACACTTATTATATGCTACAAGGAACGATCAAATGTGTCTTAACTACCGGTAATTTACAGATGGTAATCAGCGTGACACAAGGGTCTTGTAAAACGAATCGACAAGGACATTTTATACGATATGCAAATTTGACAGTACCGGTAAACTGCTGCTAATAATTTTTTTTTCCTCCAAACAATGCAGCTCAGAGTAAGGTTTCAGTCTGAAAGAACAAGATCTTAATTCTTGATTATCAACAGACTATTACCTCAGGGTAATTTAGTAATATCAACTGAGTTGATAACGTAAATTGGCCACCGTAAAGGGTTTCAATGCTGACGTTTCGAGCGTTAGCCCTTCATCAGAGCTATTACTATTACCTCATCTGGCATCCTCTCTTAAAAACTGATTAATTGCTTGATTCTGAATAATGACTAACCGTTAAAAAAAAAAAAAAAACAAGGTTCCCTATGATATGTAAGTTGTCACTTTATTTAACAGGAAATCCTCTCGTGCTTTGTTAGTCAATTTTGGAACACGGATACAAAAAAACCCTCTTTGATTGCAGTAGGGCTTAACTGCGCATGTTCATTTTTAACTCGTGAATTGCGCGCATGCGCAAGAGTGAGTTATAGATACGATGTGGGGAATGGCATACGCTCGCTCGCTCGATTGGTCGATTCCTGTAAACTTTTTTTAGATTTTAGGCTTTTGAGTGCATTTTATAGTTTTTGGCGACCAATAAACAGACGAAATGGCGACCTTTGTTGCTAAGAATAGTGGTGGGGTGAAAAAGAAGCCAATGATAATCTTAAAAGAGTTTTTTTTTTTCGTTTTAGTTTCAACAAGCGGCGCCAGCGACTGGCAGGCATGCAAGGATTCACACTGAAATAACAGAACAACCTTCGTTTTTCATAAAATTGTAATTTACAATCCTTGAACTTGAAAACAATCCGAAGATTCATTGAAAATATCACTTACTGCGAAGCGCTCGGAGTTTACAGATGTTCAAAAGCTTTTTCTGTTATAGCGTGAGATTGAGGACAAAATTGATCATTACGTTTCGTCGCGTATGTTTTTCCTGTGTGAAGCAACAAAAGATGCCGGCGACTGACGAAATAACAAGTTAACAAGAAAATCAAATAACACCTAAACAAACAATTTTAGCTACCGATTTTCAGTGAATTTTTAAAGAACAAATTTATTTTAAGTTTCAAGACAATTTGAAGATTCAACATACATACAACGTACTAAAATGCGAACGTTACACACCACAAAATTGATAAATAGGCCTGAAATGAAATTCTATCTTGTTATTGATCATACGTTGCCTAGCACGTGACTTAAATCTACCCAGGCGGAGATCCAAAATGACAGTGGCAGGCTTGGCTTAGTTATATCACTCAAAACTCGTTCCCCTTTGTCTCATTTGATAAAGAGGGAATCGTTAATGTTTTCATTGAGACAGTATTGCCTTTATTTTCTAATATTCACAACGAAAGACAGTAAATTTCACTTTTCACCCACATTTACTTCCAACCTTTTCTTTTGAACCAGAAACAAAAATGATAGACGTTTTAAGAGCCATCTTCCGAGAAAATCGAAAATCGCAAGACACTCGTAAAAAAATTGAATTTTTTTTCTTTTGCCAAAACATCCCTTTTAGTGACCTTATTCAAGAAAAAATAGTTTTGGGTTCACGCGTTTCATTGTACGGGAGAAGTAACAAATAGTTTGAAAAACCGTTTTATTGCAGTCTTTTTGCGCTTAAAAACAACAGAATCCGACCGCAACTTCGAGAAAACGGTGAACGCATAAGAAACAATCCCTAACATCGAGACTTCAGCCGAGTATTATTTCGTTCTTAATCTTTAAAATCCTAAAAGAAAATTTGAAGAAAGAAGTTTTTAACATTTACAATCGACATGTTTAAAAAGGTCGTATTTGTGTCTCTTGAAATGTTAGAAAATGAAAGCGAACTTTAACCGTTGTAAAAGCCCTCTGGTATATGCCGCTTCCTAGTAAAACCCATATAGAATAAAGCCTTGGCTATTGAAGTAAATTACAGGAACGTTTTAGCTCTGGAAATTAAATACAGCCCTGACACTGGAGTAAGCAATTTGAGAATTTAAGTTAATAAACTTTATGCAAATTAGACGGCCCGCTGAATGAATTCATACTAAATGCAAAGTTTAGTGTAAAAGGACTACTTACTGTTGCTTGTAATATGTTTTTACAGTGAAAATGTTATTTCTAGCTTTCAGCTGTGTTGGTAAGAGCCGTAAATAACTTTTCATATGACGACTGAAAAACGTTTGTTTAGCTACTTTGCTACCAGCGAAATCATTGAGATCGCAACTTCGAACTGAAGCTGTCATCGCTTGACGAAACTCCGTTACCACAATTTTAAAATAGTTTTCTTCAGGGGGAAAAAGCAGAATTAAAATGCATTCGAGACCGTTGACTTCGATTTTGAATTCGTTTAGTTAAGATTTCAAGCCACCACAAGGTCTTATGACCTCTACTGACCCGGAAATCGGTTACATGCCAAAGTCACGTTGGCAAACTGTCACGAAATACTCAATAGCTTCTGTTTTCGGCCTTTGTTTTGGTAGAAAAAAATATATAAACTTTTTACAGAACCGACCTTCTTGCTTTATTTGATTTATATATTTGTATTGGTCTGGACACATGCATATGCTGACCGGCTGTGAAAGACATTCATCACAGTTTTTGATTCAGAGTGGTATAATATTTCCCAAAATATTTCAAACACAAATGTTTCCTTAATAAGTTCGTTATTCCCGAATTTCCCACCTTGCAATAGTCCCTACAGCAAAAAAAGAAAAAAAAAAAAAGCATAAAAGTCAACTTTATAGCTTGCTTTAGTTTTGTTTTGGATTTTTTTTTATAATTTTTCCTCCGAAACCAGGAAACCCTAGCCAGGTAACTAAAATTCTCAGTTTCATTTAGAGCTTGTCCACAACACAACTTCAAACTTGCGTGTGCTTATCGCATCCTTAAAACCTTCCAGACCTCTTCAAAATTGTTGAAAAGCCTATTGAGGCTAATAATCTTTGAGTTAACTATGATCAATTCACGCCGCGAGCGCGAGAAAAGGAGAACCACTCCGCAGGGCTGAATACGCGATGTGGAGTGTTATAAAATTCCACATTCTCGCGCGTAACACTTTCT